CTGAAAAATACTACTTGTGGGAGTCAATTTAGACGACAAAGGAGAAAGAGAGAGTCTTTAAAGTTGATGTTGCAGGATGAAAGAGGGGAAATAGTGTCTGCCGTATGAAAAGTGTGAGTTAAGGTGTGTGCATGAGCGTTGTGTGTGCAAATGGAAAGTCTCAGTATCCCAGACTTAGTGAATTCAAGTGGAGATTGAAAAAGTTCTTCTGCAGAAGTTGAAAGTGAGAATGAGCCCAGTGCCAGACACATAAGGGAATTAGTATGCATTAAATGAGTGAGTGAAGGTCTTTCTTCTTTTTTAAGAGAAAAAATAGTTTGAGGGAAACCTTAAAAGACAGGATGGAGACTAATAAAGACAGCTTAATTGCCAGGTCTGATCTTGAGGACGACACTTGCCTGTCAGTGAGAAATGTATCTCAGCAATATCCGAAATATGCATTGCACGTAGTAACAATGCTGATGCGGAACCTATGAATATTTCATATTATCTGTTTTGAAGTCTAGAATGTTTTCTAACCCCAATTCACAAATGGACAGATTCAAGAGTGCTGGGTTGTAGACGCTTTAAAGCCACAGAGTTTATTTTGTGAGCATAACGTAAAAGGAAGTGAAAATAAATGAGCAGCAACACTGGAAATAATGTATATGCCCACAGCATAATCAGACAGTGTATTAATGAATGGGTGTGAGCAGAGTGTTAAAATGGAATGGAAAATGAAGAGTTGAAAAGTACAACTTTCGCTGTCTTGTGTCTTGCGTCGGTCAATGCATTTTTGTATCTTTGTTCGGGGTGAAGGATTTCCTGGGTTTAACCAGATGTTTTGTAAAGCTGAATCTCAATAAAATACATGCCTCCTATCCACAGAACCCGCAGTGGTGAGTCAGAGAGAGCAGCAGCCAGTGGTCAGGGTCATTTATATGCATCTGAGGTCTGCAAGCTTTTTTGGGGGGAGGGGGCTCTGAGTCTCTCCTTACATCAGTTTGGACTTTGTGTTTCAAGAAATGACAGTGATATGCTGAACATAATATGCTGATGATAGGGTTTTAGCTGTTATAAATAAGGACAGAACATAATATCGGAGCACCATGTTATACAATGTAAAACACAAATGACATTTTAAATGTGAAAAGCTATTTTTAAATGAGATATACACTATAAACGATGATGATTAAAGACTTAATTGCCCATAGTGTGTGAAAAATATTCAGCTTCAGCACACACAACACAAATTAAAAACAGAATACCTGGGGGAAAGCAACACAAGTCTGGAACATCCACAAGGTCTCATCTAATCTAAACTGTGGACACCAAAAACCGCAAGCAGGTTAACTAACCATCAATGCAAACATGAAACATTCCTTTATGTACAATAGATTTTCTACCCCGTGTCAATCATTGTGAAGAACCTGCAGAGAATTATCAGCTGAATCTGCAGCTCCTCTTCTTTCATCTCAGCTAATTAAAAATCCATTTTACACTCAGCACCGAACAGAAGGCAGACACGGTTAGCAGCTGTAGCTGGTGAACACAGTGGAGCATTTAGAAGCTAAAAAGGCAGAGGTTTCCTTCAGGGTTTGGTAGAGACCATAAACAGAGCTAAACGAGAGGTCATATCACATTCACCGGGTGGCCAGAAACACGACTCCAAATGAATGATAATGCTGCTATATAACTGCTGGGTATTTGCTAACAAATTCAGTACATCAACGCAAAATGTGTCGATAGTATGTCAATACTGTGTTCAGGGTTAGGGTTAGGGTAACAATTCTGCTGCCCCCAAGTGGCCAAAAAATCAGTTACTGCAGGTTTAAACATAACAGCTGTTTTCCACTCTAGCAGGGGTGGAAAGTAGCTAGTACTCTACTTAGTCAATTATGGGTCTTGTACTTAGCTGGTATTTCACACTTGATACTTTACTCCACTTCGGGATATATTTTAAATTTTACGCCACAGCTTTAGTTCAATTAAGATATTTAAATCTTATGAAAAGCTTATAAAATACGCTTTGTTAGAAATGTAACCATCCACAACAAATAAGTGCATTCAGCACATATCGTGTTGGTGGTACAAAGAGTTTTCAGTCTTTACTGACAAGTACTCTGACCATTTAGCTGCCAGCAACCATTGGACACGTTTCTTTTGATCAAAGCCCTTGGAACTTTCCCTGCAGCAAGAGCCCATCATCTCCCTATGACCACGGTGGCTAAAGAACAAAGCAACAGCCCAAAGAATAACAGACCAAAGCAAACCCAGTGGGAGAGCTTTAAGAAACTGGTGTGCTTTCATGGAAATATTCATTACTGATCTGCAGATGAATATCAAACATAACACTGTAGACGGCAAACTTTGATGTAGCCTTTTTAACCCATTCAGATTTTAACAAAATTAACACAGACAAGCACATGAGTTAATGTATGTAATCTAGTAATAATAAACTTTGCTTTTATATGAGTACTGGGTGGCATTTTGTGATTCATCATCTCATAACGTGATTTTTTTCTTTTCTTTCGAGAATATCTGTGCCACAAGGGCAATATCCACTAGCGAGATAGCTTTTGTTCTTTCTATATATATTGCTCAGATAATTTGAGCAAGAATGTCCTTCAGCTGAGCAGCAGAGAGAGAGAACGAGGAGATTATGTCATCTGGACACACAAAGTAAGACTGGGGTAGGGGCTTCCTGTCTGATTCATATCTGTGAGGAATTCAATCAAAACAAATCATTTGGATGTGATCAACAAACATTCCCAGTGCTCCAAGTAAAGTAGCCTTTTACATTTAAGTTGATGATTAGTACCTTTTAAATGGTTCTGGTATACGGTTTTTCATCCAGGAATAAATCCTAGTCAGAATCAGAGCAGTCTTTGGGTTGCTTTCAGTCCCTTTATTCTGTGTTCCCCCCCCTCAGATCTATAAGAGGGCTGTCTGCCCAGTTTAGCATCCCTGTGACTATCCACTGCCAATGTTCAGCAGCAATGCAGTGCTGTTTAGGTTGCAGAGCAGTAACCATTAGTGTAGATCCAGATCTTATCCAGGTGGTTATGATGTGGTTTGTATTTGCTTTTGTAAGCACAGCACAATGTTGCCATCATTTTAACACTTACCATATCGTTTATTTGCCATAGCGATGTCTTTTCTGTCTTACTGTTGTTGCCATGTGCAGATATTTAAGAAATCATTTTGAAACTGTTTGCACGAGACATAAAAGAAAAGTAACAGAACTTAATCTCAGATTTTGCAGAATTGATCGATATATAATAAGTTTGGTCTGTTGCATCGTTGTTCTTGTTAGTTCCTCAAGATGGTGCCAAAATGAAGAATTTTCAAATCCACATACTGGCTTTAATTTAAAGGATCTAAAACAAGACCATGTTTAAACCTATGTGGATTTTGTCAAATCTGGCTTGATCAAAATCCTGTTGTGATAGCCAAAAAACAATACCAGCTCTGCCAAAAATGAGGAATTTTGCAGCTGAAGTGGCCAGACACTTTGGCAACACAGCACCAACAAAATTACTAAAGCAAAATTACATTTATCACACTGTAGGTCTACACTGAGATCATTCCAACACAGGGAAGTATACAAAGGCCACTAATAGCACCATGTGTTTAATGCATTTCATGCATTTGTGATCCTTCTGGTGAATTTAATTATAAGTATTAGTATGATGTGGAAAATACATCATGGAGCATCAGTGAATGAATGGACGCCTTAAGTAGCTCGACTTAAAAGGTTCTTCAGAAATTAAAGTAATGCAGGACCCCTAATGAAGCATGCTGCTTGAATGATGATTTATCAAAGGATGAAAAGAGGGAATTTAGTGATGTGGTGTTTCAGAGTTTTAATAATTTCCACCCTCAAGCAGGCACATCCTCCCTGCATGTAATTTTAAAATTATTAGTCAAAGTTGCTTTTGTTTACACCCATTCAGCAACACCCTTCTTCACAAAAATGGCAAATGGTGAGGTCATTTAGATATGCGCCCCTCAATAGACTTGGTGGGTGGCTAATTATAAAACTGTACTTACCACTAAACCCAAAGGCGAGATGTTGCCATTGAACAGATCTGGGTTGCCTCTCAACAGTAGTTCAATAACATGTTATTTGAACATTTTATGAAAGATTGGATGAAAGGTTGATTTTGTTACAATGGCCAATAGCTCCCCAGGATCTAAAGAAATATTCCTCCTGACTCAGTGTTGATGTTATGAAACTCTACTGACATAAATTACTTTACTTTTAATTGTGGTTGCTTGACATTGGTGGGACGGAATGAATGACTAACCAGTTGTTCAGTCAAGGATTGTATAAGATTGGTAATGGTACATTTAAAATCTGGCTGCTTGATATTGTTTCAGTGTATCTGTAAGTGGTTCCTGAGCCTGTAAGCATGCACTTGTCCACTTGTGAATCATTCCAAATGGTCACACGTTTGTAAAATGTAATGATGCATGTCGTATTATTATTCAGTATGAATTTGAGAGTAAAGGTAAAAGTTGAAGGGTTTACAGTAGTGGGCATTCCGTCAGGTTGTCTCCACTTTATGTCCACTTATGTCTTCTTCTCTGCATTTCAACATTATGTATTATTTCTTAATGAAAATGTTAGTGTGTTGGTTCAAGATGGTGTAGAAATGAATGAAATGAATTCTTGAAACAAGTGAAACTGCATGGGGAAAACCTGACTATTTTACCTTATTTATTCAAATACATCTTATATAACCCTTAAATACCTACATTTTTTCTGATATTTTTCATTTTGTGTTGTCATTCGACTGCCTCCTGTGCAAATATATAAAATATGTCAATGCACTTACAGTACCTATATTCATATTTACATGTCACATACCCAAGCACACCTACATACATGCTCTCAATACAAATAGACATGAATTCAAGAAAAAGCATCATATTTTCCCCCAACATCGGACTCAGTCACTGGCTAAGATGAGCTTTTTTTTCTGTTCTCAGTATATGACTGGGAGTGAGTGAGCCAACAGTATAGAGGATGCTGGATGACGGTGATGCGCACTGAAGCTGCTGCTGCTTCTCCGACAGGACTCACATGAGGATAGATGGAGTTTTTGCGTAACGCTAAAGCGATGGGTTTCCCTGCTCTTAACCACCTTTTTGGTATGCTGTTAAATTCCGGAAGACGGACATTACATCTAAGGAGCTGATCCCCCCCTCCCACCTAAAATTCACACAGACTGTTGACTTGTTTTCAACATCGCAGAGAGGATTCACGACCCTGGACATTGTGGTTTGTAAACTTTATGGCTATAGTGACATTATACATTTACAAAGCGCCCTTGCTGGACTGGTTTACATTTGTTTTCTGTTGTCAAGGTACGTAAAATCTGTTTGAAATGTCCGACTTCCACAACCGGAGCCAAATCAGCGCACGTCGCAGTGACTACGTGTGGCAGTACGAATATTATGACGACGAGGAGCCAGTGTCTTTTGAGGGTCTCAAAGCGCACAGATGTAAGCTGAACACAACTGTATACATCACTGAGACAACCTCTCATTGCTTTTACTGCCTTTCACTTTGGGCATGATTGTGTGTGTGTGTGTGTGTGTGTGCGTGTATGTGTATGTGTGTGTGCGTGTATGTGTGTGTGCGTGCGTTTGTGCATGCCACCAGCAAACAAAGCTACTCACCATTTGACTGTTAATTAATAAGGATTCATTACCCCGGCACATTCAACCTTTTGCTTTATCTTTATTGCCTGAGATGAAGGGGGACACGCGCCACCTGCTTCCCAATAAACAAATTATATCTGGGAGCAATAATTCATGCAGCACCTGTACTGGCAATGTATAATCCAGTGGTAATGGACAAGCCACATAATGAGACAAGAAATTACCTTCAGCAAACATACAGACACATAGGCTGCTGTAATCAAATATTACAAATGCTGAATATTCACTTTAACGGAGTAATTGAGGATTTTGCTCCCAGGGAAGAGGGTCCCTGAGAGAAATTAAAATCAAGTGCAGAGTGAGTAGAAGAGAGATGGGTTTAATTATTTAAAGAATGTACCACTAACATTTTATCTTCTCTGACATTTCAGACTCCATCGTCATCGGCTTCTGGGTTGGACTTGCTGTGTTTGTCATTTTCATGTTCTTTGTTCTTACGCTGCTCACAAAGACAGGAGCGCCGCATCAAGAGTGAGTATAATAGCGGCCTACAACCCATGTTGCCTTTCACTTTCACATCTGGCCCTGCAGGGACCACTTTCAGCACCAAGGCGAGCTCAGGCAATTATGCTACTGTACTTCTCATCTCAGAGCTGGGGCAGCTTTAATGTCTGTGGGTGAACTCAGGATGTGTGTACAGGCATAGGGGGATAGCACCGTAATGAGTTTCACAGATGCTTTTGCTATTCCGACAGTAAATTCAGTTGAAAGGCTGGTTGTTCTAATATGCATAGCTGATATCTGACTTGGAGGTGAGCTTCAGATGGCACATTGCCATCTCAAGTGAAGATCAGCAGCGGGAACTGGAGAGATATTACTTTTAAAAAGTCAATCTGCGTACGGCACTGAGGTTAAGCCAAGATGAAAGGAAGTCTATTGGCTGGTTATATGTCATTTCCCCCGCTTATTTTTCCACGAAAGGTGCCTGGGTGATTTTCAGTATTAATTTTTAGACACAGACACAAAACACGACAATAAATCTTTAGTAATTTTGAGTGTTCTGCTTAATTAAGGAAAAAAACAACAATAAAAGCATGTCATCTTTCTAAAGCCTCTTCGTCTTTTTGCTGCAATCTGAACCTCTTTTTCTTTCTTAACAGAAACCCAGACTCTGCTGAAAAACGCCATCGACCGGGGAGCTGTCTGGTAGACATTGATGGTGCCCAGGATGAAAATGACAAAGCCTTCTCTCGTCCGTTACTAGCAGAGTCCCGCTCATATTTCCATTTCTACATCAATGAGGAGGACCAGGGTCAGGGAAAGCAAAAACCAGAAGACAAGCTAACTGGAAAGAATGCCGGGGCCCGAGCCCAACAGGGGACCTGCAACCGACCTAGAGGTATCAGCTCCTCGGTGATGGACGAGATGGATGAGGATGTTGAGGAAGCTGGTGGACACCAACCTCTTAAGGGATTACTAGAGGAGAGTAAGACAGACAGAGAATGTGCCTTCTTTTCCCACTTTAACATCCCTAACTTTGTGAACTTGGAGCACAGTTCAACACTCGGAGAGGATGATCTACTGTATGAGCCGTCCGTCGTACTGGAGCGCCAGTCTCGCTCTCAGGATGCTCACAGTGACATCCACTAAGGCTGTTTCTACAAAGATAGATCAAAGGCATGGACCTACTATATTGTAATATTAATACAGTAATATACCTGACAGGGAAATATACTGACCTGCCACACTTCTACCTGGAGTGTTTCGAAGCTTTTCAACAAGCATACATTCAGATCGACAAGCAAGAGATCACAAAAGATTATCCTTAACTGCATATCAATTCCTGATCATTAAACTGGCTCGTGTGGTGGTGTCTTTTACTTCCTCCTCTGAACTGGCTGGGACTACATGGCTTTCCGCACAGAAGAACGAGAGGGCAGTGGAGTCACCAAGGATAAATGCTTTGTATAATTCATACTGCTATTATTGCTGTCTTTTGTGTCTTGTTCAATTATGGGCAGTGCACATTATCTCTCTAACAGGACACAAATGCCAGTTGGTATACCAACAACATTAGAAGGATGAATGGAATTATTTTTGTTTTAAAATAAAAATGCCCTCTATTTGAAAAGGTGAAGTGTACATTAATAAGTAGCACAAAATAGACATATTTTATGAGGTGGATAACCTGAGACCTTGGATGACAATGTGATATAATACTTTTGTAGACTCTCTTAGATTGAAAAGGATTTTGATTGTCCAAATAAAGCCTAAATGGCTTTATAATTGAAAATAGTGGTGTGGTGAAACATTTCTTAACATTACACAGTATTTATGAAATAAGATCACTCTCAGCTTTACAGTTTTGTCAAGCTTTGTCAGATGTAATAACAATAAATAACTTGAAATTGCACCTTTCAATATTTTTACATTAACAATGAATTGAATACTTCTGTGTAATTTGAAAGCTTTTGCTTGCAGCAACAAAACCACAGTTCTTCCCTCAGCTTCATGAAGCATTTTAGCGTCTTTCATGTTTTTGGTTTTGGTTTTACGTCAGTAAATGGACTGATAATCCTTCCCAGCAAAAAGTGTGTTGCCCTGCCCCCAAGTGGCCAAAAAGAATACCATTAATGCAGCCTTAATTTGAGTAATATCTCATATTTTCTCTTGCAGTGACAGTGTTGCAGAAAATGTCTTGGTAATATCTTCAGTGTTTGGGGACATTTCATACAGAGTTGCTAGAATCACTTGTACTACTTGTCTATGTCTTTATTCATGTAGAAATCTCCTTCTCAGTAAAAACAAATTAAATTAGTTTGAGCCATGTCAGGCGGTGATTATGCAAAGGAACATTGCTGGCTATTATTGTCACTTATCAGCAAATGCCCGAGCTACATATATTTAGCTGATATAAGGATGTGCTTGGAATGCCAGAGAATCTATCAGCATTAACGCAACACTGACTCCACCAAATCAGTCTTTTTCAGATTTGACAAACAACCCATTAATTATTTTGCCGACACGCTGGGGAAAATAAACATTCAAACATTCAGTTCTCTATCCTCAGCTGACATATCTCATGTTCATTAAAAGGCATTTGATCATGATGAGTAAATATGAGTTCCATGGAACCATTTGCAGAGGTTGCTTCTGCAATTTGGTCAATATTTCTTTCTTTTCTATGCTCACCAGCAGAGAAATGTTACTCTTTAATGTGAATGATCACATTTTTTTTACGGAGCCCCTAAAGGGACATGGGGAAAAAAAAAAAAAGGAAACGTATCACTAGATCGAATCAACACATGGCTAATTTTAATATTCAAATGAGTATTAAACTAATTTGTCTGTAACTAAAAAATAAATGTAAATTAATCTGTAACCTCTTTTGTTACAGTCCGCATTTAAATGCCCTGTCCTGCAGCCGGACACTCATTTGTCCTCCTTTTGAGAAAATAACAAAAACAGTCCGCCTTTTGACACATTACCTTGATAGTTTAATACTTATTGGCTTAAAATGTGTGTCAAAATAAGTAATTTCATTGGTTACATTTTTGTGTTGTGACCTATCAACACATGGCTAATTTTAATATTCAAATGAGCCATGTGTTGATTCCACAACACTCCATCCACATCTAGTGCGCACAAGATAGTATCTAGTGCGCACTAGATACTATCTTGTGCTCACTAGATAGTATCTAGTGCGCACGAGATAGTTTCCTCTTTTTTTTTTCCCCATGTCCCTTTAGGGGCTCCGTAAAGCACAAGAGCTCAGTTATAAAAACTCACATGCTATTAAATAAGCTATATTATATTTTCTTTCCTTCTCTCCTTTTTCTTTCTGTGCAGAATATCATACAACACTGCATTTAAGCCTGTGTCACTGGGCAACGGAAAGTATCATTAATCTGTCACTTTACCAGCTTAATTGATTGGGAATACCTAGAAGTATTGTTCAGTCCCACTACTGGCATTAGTGAGGGATATAAAAAACTGCTTCTGAGAGTTTAGAGCACAATCATTGTGCAGTTAGCTTTGAATTATGGGCTGCAGGGTTCAAACAGACAAAAGTTGAGTGGGCTGACGATAGGTGAAGGTCTGAGGTATGGTAAACATTAAAACGTGTTAAGGTTCATCATGAGTGGGATGTTTACGTGTTTGCAAGATTTCCTCTTTTGGAGGATATATTAATCCTCAGTCAAGCTGAAAGATACATGTGACCTGAGAGAACCCTTTGGGTAGCACAGCAGAAGTTTTAATTGTTTTCACCACATGACATTTATCATTACCTCTTTTCTGAATGACAGAACTTCAAAATAAAACCATATACACATCATTGGAGGTGGTTGCCGTGGTGATGGATAGCTAAATGGCTGGGCGATGAAGAAAAGAGTGAATCACTTTACTGTTTATCTTCTGAATGAGGGGGTGTTCAGTCAATCTCTGTCCGCTGTGCAATCCCAACGAAAATACAAACAAATTAGAGACATACATCTTGCTTCATATGAGTGTATTCACCCAGTCTATCCAACTCTCCTCATGCCTTCGGTATAAACATGCAGTAATGACTTGCTACCAACTCCAGGCTCCACATACCTCAGCAGTTAAGCTCTAAACAAACTTTTCCAATTTATTCTTTTGACTGTGAGGGCTGGCTTCCAAGGGTGTAGTGAGAATCAACAACCAGTGGGTGGGGCAATGGAGTTACATCAATTCCATGTAAAATCTGCCATTTGCTCTTTCTCCTAAATGCCCCAAGGCGGTCTATCCAGTCATTGTGGTTGACGGTTGAGCTGCAATGACACTTCAGCAAATGAGCAGCAATGGGGGAGCTACTGCAAGGGAGAGGTGGAGGAAGAAAAACATCAGCCTTTTGTTGACGCCGAAAATTCTTTGGGATTTGGTGGGTGTTAAAAATACAATGTCAGTCGAGTGGTAATTACATATTCAGTTGCAAGAAAACAAGACAAACAACATATTTTGTGGCATCCAAGCACATGCGGCCATAACAGGAGCCATGGTAGACAACATCTACAAGACAACATGAATCCCTGCTACAAGGATAGAAGAGGAAATGCACTGAAGATGAACGCCTCCTCAATAGCCTCAAAGGTTCTCTGAGTTCTGATCCTGCTTTAACCGTTTATTATCTACTCATAAGTCAATTATATGGATTTAACAAATATCATTCAAAGTCAAGAAATTAATTTAAGAGCTAGCTGTCTTTAAAAAAAAATCATCTAAACAACAAAAAGGGCTGCTGTGAGAATTAGAGCATACTTCTTCCCTGGTACTTCAGTAGTGGTGAAAGGTCTGAGTTAGCAGATGTACAATATAAATACACTCTGATTGTTGATGACTCACTGCACCAACCCATATATATAAGGCTTAAAGTCTCTTCATCTCTCTTTCTTTTGCAGGCGCATGTTAGGTAGCATGTAGTACAAGGACTTGGATGATTTATTCCAACAAAAAGATCTGAAAGTCTTGAATATACTATTGTTCTTAAGTAGTTTGTATGTATGGGTATTGGCTTTCTTCTTGTTTTGTAAGAAAATACCTAATAAGATCCCTAGAAGCAGCTCTAAACTTTCTGGATATGTTCTACCATAAGAATTTAAGGTAAATGCACTTAAGACCATTTTATCTTACCAATCAGACTTGTTTGTTAAGCTTGCTATGTTATTATTTTTCTTTGTTAAATATCAAGTATGTATGAGGTATAAGTGTCATTAAAAGAAGGAGCAATCACTAATCACACCTTATTGTGTCAAGATAAGAAATTAACTTGCCATAGCAGTTCCAGATACAACACAACAAAAAAGAAAAAACACATTAAATAAAAAATGAAAATAGAATGAGAGTTATATGCACATTATGCAGATGTAATTGATATGGAACATTGCACAGGTCACAGCAAAAAGTAGTGGCATGGTGTAAAAATAAATAATTGCACAGGACAAAAATATATACAGCAGTTTAGTTTAGAGGAAATATAGGCTATATACAACTCAAATACATACTTGTTATACTAAAGTGTTTCTAAACTGGGAACCTATAATGGACAAGTCCTTACATTACGCAGTAACAATCCTATTTGAAAGGTTTATAGAAGAAAAATCTCCAGATATTTCTAAAACATAGGATTCATCTTACAAATTGCCCTTCTCTGGCACAATAAAACCTAAAATGTATTCTTCGTCTAACTTCAGAGGATTGTCACTCTGGCCTCAGCTGCCTGCCAGTTCAAATCTCTCACGAGCGAGGAAAATCTGGGTGGGTACAGAGAATGAGTAACTCTTTTTCTCTTCCTCAACAACAACAAAGCATCTGTTTACACACGCCTCCAGTGAAGCTGCTCAGTGTAACAAAAGGAGTGTGCTCAGCAGCTGCCAGGTAAGCATGTCTGTAACTGCATGAATATGACACAGGGCATTGCTGGAAACAGTCCAAGGCACATAATGTTAAACCAAGACTATAACTCACTGCATATTATAATTGGAGTCAGTAGAAGCTGCTCGGTAAGGCAGAATGGGTGACTCACAGCCCATGCATTTACATTGTCAGAGTATTAAGCTCTAGAGCTAATCTTAACAATGCAAGTCAATTAGTAGATTCAGCAGGGCTGCAGAGAAAGAGTGGCGTATTTTATTTTCCATCAGCTTATTACCTCTAAACCAGTAAAACTAGACATCCACTCCTTTAAGTGACACCATTTGCATATGTTGCCTCCAAACATTGGCAGAGTTGAGTGCACCAACTGTTTTATTGCAGATGTTTAACATCTAAATACCCATAACCACAAACAGTTTGTTGCCTCCGCCACCCCCTCGTGTTTTGCCATGAGAAAATAAAGTCAATGTGTAAATTTTTTATGAAGTGGAGAATGAGACGGGTTTCAGCTTCTGCATGAATAAGTCATGGGGAAAGACAGAGAAAGAGCCTGACAGAGTATTTGCTTGTGTTTGTGGATGTGATGATGCATGTCAGTGGCAGGGGCAGAGGGAGAATAAGTTAGTATATTAGCTGTTAGATAATGCACAAGATTCATTATTATACACAGTAGGTATATTGTAGATGCAAAACCAGCAGTGACAACCTATGCAGGGTCTTTAATCAGGACAGTAAAAGGGAGACCATGGACCCTGTCAGCCAGCCACAGCCTGTACCTGCTGTCTCTCAGTTAGTGACCCTGACACAGTTGCACAACAAACCGCCATAGCTGGCTGCTGTGTCACGGTGCTCAAAGCCTCGGGGTGTGTTACCTGGCCCGGGCAGATTCCGTATTCTTCTCAGCACTCATTGGCATGGGGAAAAAAAACACTTCTACAGAAACATTCACAATGACATCAGTCTGGCGTTAGCTAGCCCGGATATTTTCTCATTTTAGAGCGCACTAAATATTAATAAGGGCAGTGCGGGTGCAGGCTCCCCTGTTCTCTGTGTGGAGGGACAGGTTGGCTCTCACAGGCGGTGGCGGCACTGAAAGGTTTCATTGTCATATGAAGGCTTTTTGCAGCGGGCTGCGTTTTTTCACTGCTGTATTCTCGAGGCAGCCGAGGAGGCAGCAGGATCTCTGTAATCATGGTAAGATCTCGCTCTCTGTCTCTGGTGACATGCTTGTCAAGAAATGAACTGGGACTCGTGGGCTTTTTGGTCGATAGACTATTTGAGGACTGAACCGGCTGGATAACAATGTGAAGCTTCAGAACCCACTGTTTGCTTTGGTTTTATTGAGCTGTAGTTTGTGCAGGAACCTGTTATCCTTCATCAGGATTGTGTGGGCTGTCAGAGGTCTTTATGTAAATGTCATCCCTGTTAAGGGTTTTTATTTCATATGTAAACACTTCAGGCTACACTTCCATACGTCAAGAATGAATAGGCTCTATGATAATAAGTCTCTAATAGCACAGTCTTACCACGACCGTTAAATGTCTAATATAATAATCTGCCCAACAAGAACAAGTGAATTTAATCAACAGTAATTAACAGCGCCACTCCCACGCCCTACAGGCAGTGTGCCACACTTAGAAGAGAAAAAAAAAGTTGAACAAAAAGTTGAAAAGAAACTTTTGTCACGTTACGACTTTGATTTTCAGTTCCTTGATTAGATTTAAAAGTCGAAACAGTGACTTTTTACCTAGACCAAAGTAGTTAAAGGGTTAAATTCCCCGACTAAGCAGCATGGAAAGACTGACTTGAGCTGCCCGCCAAGTGAAATAAGGGCACGCAGATTTGGAAAACCAAAAAGTGAACTGAACAGGCTCTGAAACCCACACAGCCAGTGCGTCATTTCCCCTGGAAAAGTTTGTTTGGACACGGCCTCTTTGCTTCCTTCATGTGCTAACATAAATGTAGGAATTTTGAGTTCAGCACACATCATCGATGTGGGGGAATTGCAAATAATAATAATAATAATAAACTTTATTTACATAGCACCTTTCAAAATCGAGTTTTCAAAGTGCTTATATAGGGTAAAAAAAAAAAAGAACTATAGCACCATCAGTAACAATATATAAAATAAACAATAAGCATTGTAAATATAAACATTTGATAAATATTAAATAGCCTACAATTAGTCTATTTTAGTCAACTTTGGAGGAAAATTTCTGTCATGCTGCTTTTGTTTATTTAAAATATGACTTCCACATTCCTGGACATTATTAGCCACTGTGGTCTCTGTTGTAATGATAAAAAAAAAACTACAAGATCAAATGTGGACTTGCTTAGCTTAAGGTTTAGCAAGTAGTATGTGAGACACTTGCTAGACCTTACAGCCAGGTGATACTTTGATACTTGAGGTGGCAAGTTGCTTCATAAAAATGAAAGGAGTCAACAGGAACATAACTCTCACTCATCCAGTTTAAAGATCAATCACATTTAATTTATGACAAACGGGCTAAAAGTGTTGACATGATTTTAATGTGACTGACTGGGAGTACACCCGAGCCCGTCCACACACTCTGCTGCTGCCGGTCGGCATCCCACTAGGAAGGAGGCCCACCTACTGCTCAATAAATCCAGACTTTTTGCTCCCCGTTGGTATCAGGACAGCAGAAACTCTACACATCTTTTGTCACAAACTGAAAACACATCTGTTCAGACTGCATTTTAAAAAAAATCTTTAAATGTTTAAATGTTCTTCAGTTCGGCTTATTTGATTAAGTTGATGTACTTGCATGATTCCTGCAAGTTTAGGTTGTATATGGCTGAATGCACTTATTGTCAGTCACATTGGATAAAAAGTCAGCTAAACAAATGTAATGTGCAGGCTTAAGTCTAAAGTTTTAAAATGTTTGTTTTTTAAAATATTCACAATCATTGCCGATGGCAACCAGTAATACAATTCAACCCAAGTTTAGTCTGCCATTAGTCAGACTAACACTGCAGTCAGGTGGTTGAACACTTGTTGACTAACTTGACTGGCTTCTGAGTGACACTCAGGAAAGAAGTTTACGAGGAGCACTTGAATGCATCATGTTACCACAGAGCTGCGTGCGCTGCGCTGGAGGGGCAGAACTTCTTCATCAGAGCCCATATCTCAGATATCAGTCTACCGCGCTCGTGTAGTTGTGGATGCTTTACTGGATGCAAGGAGGACTAAACGCAACATGTTCATCAGTTAGACATGCATCTTATTCCAGATCCTCTGCTGCACAAACTGACAGCGGCGTATGTTTTTCAGTGGGAGGAAAAGTTTTCTTCTGTCTAATCAAGGGTGAGTTTGATCTTGAAATTACTGCCGAAAGTTGAGGATGGACTTTATCACTTTGCTACGGCAGAGAATCTTTTTATGACTTTTTATGGCTTTTTCTTTTCTTTCTATTGTTTATCCTGGTGGAATGATTTTGTTTTTGTTTTATGCTCTTTAGGAGTTTTTGTTCTAAACCAAAATCATGTTCACAACCTACATAAAGAATCTGAATGATATGGTATTTTCTACGGTAAGCTTACAGGTTATAAGCACTCCTGCATGACCTTGCTATGCTGAGAGATGCATGGCCATACTAAACCATATCCATGAACAAGCAACCCCTACTTATATTTACTTTAGGTCCCAAGCCTGCACTCCCTTCGTTTGTTCATTGTCATGATATTTGCATTACCACATGTAACTCTCAGTTCCCTCTAAGGTTTGCACATATCCATTTGAAATATGCATGTTTATTCATTGCCACTGCATGTGTAAGCAAGCATTTAAGTGAGTTATTTCTCTGCTTTGCTTTAGTCTGAAAGCCCCGAGGAGCAGCCGAGCACTGGGGTCTTGGGCCGTATTGGGAGCTGGTTCTCTCCGTGGAGAGGAAAGGGTCCGAAGAGTCCTGCTGAAAATGCCTCTCCAACTAGTGATCAGGCTCTTAAGTCAGAGGGAGTAGAGGAGAGTGAGGACTTTGTGAAACCCCCGGCAAGGGAACAACAGTGGGAGGAGGAGAAGGAACAGAGCTCCAATCCCAATCCACTGGGTCTCTCCAAACACATTTTCCCCTGTGTGGAGCAGGACGCCACGCAGTCTGCCCACAGAGACGGCTCCGTTGTGAGCAGCACTGAGACACCAGAAGGAGGTCCAAGAGAGGAGGAGTTTGTGGGGAGCAGGAAGAAGAGAATAGGGCAGGGCAAGGAGAGGGAGGAGAGCAGCAACGGTACTTCAGCGAGCGGGAATCCTGAGAGGAATGCCAGTCATCTGACACATCTCTCTTCCTCTTCTGAGCAGGGAGTGGCATGGGAGTCTGACCAGGCCCACACTGAGCCTCAGGGCCATAGACAAGCACAGACCAAGACAGGCAGGAGGCTCCATGTGTACCTGGAGGAGACCAGTGTGATTCAATGTGGCCAAGACGCTCGTGATGGACAGGAAGTTGTCCGCACTGAAATCACAAAAAACATACAGGTCCTCCCCAAGGCAAAGTCATCACCAACTTTTAATTCACCAAAGAGCTCAAGTTCAACAAGTGCAGAGAACAAAAGGACAAATGTGAGGGCCGCTGTTGGGACGCAGAGTTATTACAGTACACTAGTGGGAGTGTCACTGAAATCACAATTCGAGCCTGAACCTGATAAAGAACAAACAGACAGCATGGGGCGTAAAAACGCAGCAAAAAGGAGAGTAAGGAAGAACTCTCAAGGAGATGGAGGGAACAGCCCCCTTGAAAAAATGCCTCCCAAAGCTGGACCTGTCCCAGAGGGATTCCCTACATCAGATAACTCAGTGACCAGCCCTAAGGGCAAAAGTCCAAAGTCTCACATGGGAGAGTCATCTATAAACTCCTCCTCCAAGAACAATGCAACCTCTCAGCCCTCACCTGGAGGAGTGGAGAGTAAGAATTCTTGCCCCGATACAGTCAAGCAGTTGGACAAGTTCCAGGACTCAAACTCAGTCACTGCAGCCACTCTGGCATGTGTGGTTGATGGGGCTGCAGACATGGAGGATGATGACAGTCTTTACAAAGTGGAAAGGAAGACAGAAACGCCAGAGTCCAAACGCAGGAGTCTTAAGGTTTCTCGAAGTGAGGTGAAGCTTTTCACAAAAAATGTGCCTTTGAATCCTAAGGAAAGTCCAGCTGGAGACAACCAGGATATTAAATCAACCTTAAAGAGTACCAAAGATGAAGCTAAGGACAAGCCCAAAACAGAGATTGATGCAAGGTAAGTCACTTCACTTAAATGTGATTGGTTAAAAATAGACAGAGAACAGTTTGTGGATTGTGAATGAATGAAACAGTGACTCGTCACATTATCATAGACAATAATGTATTCCACTTAAAATACCTGATTTGTTAGGAATAAATGTTTCATTTTACAACTAGTGACCCTCCAACATTACCAAACATTTTAAGCTACCTGTCAAGCTTTTGTCTAACTTGACATTACTGTCTAAACAGAGAATGTGTGTTAGCTGCTATGGGTGGAATATCACAGGTGTATCCACAATACAACAATGGCGTGAGTCATAACACAAAGTCCAGTACGTCAAGAATAGCATTGTAAAGTACACATGAGATTAAAATATAGGTCAGGTGAAATATAACTGAAGATTAAGAATTTGTCTGTGGCAGTTGAGCAAGTTTAATACATGGGAAATCAGCTAAATATAAAATATATGTTTGAATTCAAACTTTTGTCTCTTATCATACACAGACTTCCCAGCCTGAAGAAAATAGACGAGGAGCATAAACCAGTCGTTGGCCGGATCTCAGATAAAATCAGCCTCTTCGAGCGCTCTGCAACGGGAATAAACAAGCAGGCCTTCCAAACCCCGAGGAGTGCCGATGTCTCTCCAGTCAGGATAGCCACAGAGAGGCTGAAAGCAAGCTTTGTGTTGTCAGAACAAAGGTCAAGATCAGCTGAACGTTATGACACAGCCAGGTCCAACTCTACGTCTCCCGCCAGGGAGAGGCCGCTGACGATCAAGGAGCGAGCGAGGAACTTCACAAAGGCATGCAAAACAGACGCACTGCCTCAAAAGCCTGCCATGACTGGAATGTCTCAAGAATCCACGCTGTCTGAGGCAGTTGCTGCAACAAAGTCACCAAGACTGGACAATCAGGATAAACTGGATACTAATGAGCCAACACAAACAAACATAGTGTCAGAGATAACATTAAAACCAGATCAACGGGATACCACTTCTGTAGAGGGAAAGATTTCCATTCCTAAAGAACAACCACCAGATTCCAAAGCAAAGAATGTAGTGGTCCCAAAAACAGCAGATAAGGGTACGAAAGCTAACAGCGTTGAAACAAATGTTCAAGCTAAAGGGCCAGGTGATTCTGCAGAACTGTCCAATAACATCAGCCTAGAGTCCAAAGGCCCTAGCAGAACAGGGTCCCGCTCTAAAAGAAGAAGAAGTAAGGAACCAACGAATCCCATTAGCCCAAATAGTGAAAACAACCCACAGTGCTCTACAAGTCAGCCACAGGTCACTGCCATAAAACAAGAAAAGGTGGATGGTACAGAGGAGACTGCCTCTGCCTCCCAACAACTCACAGAGGAAGTCTCATTACCATCTGAGAAAGCCGAGGGAAACCCATCAGATAAACAGTCTTTGTCTGATACCAAACAGGAACCATTTATAAAGGAACCAAAGGTGTTAGACAAAGAGGAGAAACTGTTAGATTCTTCATTTAAAAAGGAGAATATTGGTAAACCAGTCAACAAACAGGAACCTGAACCATCTGTCAACAAAGACGAACCCGATACTGCTGCTTGTAGCAGTGGAACAAAGATGCCTATTGACAAGGATCCCGTTATTTTATCCCAAAAGGAGGAAAAGGCAGGGGGACATAGCCTCTCATTTACACAGAAGAGGGAAAGGGCCTCCAAGGACAGAAGAGAAATGACAGACTCCTCCCCCTCACCTGTGGTTGTGCAGCCTGTTGAGAAGACTCCTTTGCAGGAGCAGGAGCCACCTGTTAAACATCCCAAATTAGATAAAGAATTGTCAATGAAATCTGAACCAAAAAGTAAAGGGAAAATAATATTACCCAATAAAAAAGACACGAGTCAAACACAGCAACCCCAACACAAGCATACAGAACTAATAAATCAGGCTGAGAGTAAAGATGTGGAGAAATTAGAAAAGGTGAAGAGTGAAAAAACTAATCAGATTGAGAAGAAAGGCAAAGAGAAACCACAGCAGCTCCAGACTTCAGATAAAAATACCACAAAAGCCAAGGTTTCAGACAGGGGGCAAGGTATCTCAGGGACAGAGGGGGGTGTAGCTAGGGATGATGAAAGAAAAAATGCTGAAAGAAAAGATAAGACAGAGCCGGTGAAAGATGAAAGAAAACAAGAAACCAACCAGCCAGAATCACCCCCTGAGTCTTTAGAAAAGACATCATCGGACCTCCCTGCCCAAACACAACAAGTCAGTGAGACGACTACATATCCACAAAAAGCTGCCACCCTGACTAATGAGGCTGTGAGTGGAAAACAGAGTGACAAAGAGCCTCCGAAAAGAGACACAGCAAACACTGTGCCTACTGAGTTGCAAACAAAGTCTACAGAAAGCCCTGGAACAGAAACCGGGTCAGTGGTGATTGTGGCAGAACTACAGCCTGTTTCTGTATCTGTGGAAAAAACGGAGAAAACACAAGATGACTCATGTACACGTGGAGCTAATGATGCTGAGTTCTCCAGTGCAAAGCCTATTACCAAAGCAACTACAGCAGCAAAGGAAGTGACTGTAAAAGCAGCTAATGACACTCCAACCCTGATAACTGCACAGTCTGACAGTGCGGCAGAGAAAAAATCATCTGTCAAAGAACCTACTCCAATTTCTGTCTCTAAATCTGTGAGCAGCGATGTAGCTGGGCAGGATGATGGGACAAAAAATACGACTGTCAAATCAATGCCCTCTGAAGTCAAAATCTCAGGAGAGATCATGAAACTCACTCCTAGTCTCCCACAGTGTGAGGCATCAAAAAATACAGCGAGCACTAATGATATCACTTCACTCAAGGGTGCTGAAAAAATAGCACAGCAACCAGCTAATAGCACCGCTTCTAGGTCCACGGTTAATGTGGTAGAGAAGACAGCTGAGAAAACATTCCAGCCCCCAATGAATGAACTTTCACCTGTTGCTAATGGTGATATCTCTCCACTTCCACTCCACACTGTCAAAAACGAACTTGTCAAAAACAAGCCTAGTCAAACTCCAAAGGCAACCACTTCCCTCGATGCTAATAAGCTGATCCCAGACTCAATGCAGCGTTCATCCATGAAGAAGCTCCATTTGCCACGGGGACTAAGCAAAGATGATTCTGCAACACGGCAAGATGCCCCCTCGAGCTGGTTGGATGTGGACTTTCCCAAACGGAAACTTAAAGTCCCAGTGTGCAAACTGAGCTCCTCTGGGAGTGAGAGCAACCTTCTGGACACTTCCGGTGAGCTAGATGATGATGATTTCATTGAGAAAATCAAGAATCTTTGCGCCCCGTTCTCCCTCCCACCACGTAAACACAACATACTCCGGCCACCTCAGCCGCCATTTGCGATGCCTGCCATCAAGGAGGACCGCTTTGAGAAGACATTTGACCCTGAGGAGTTTAAGTTTGGCTTGAGGAAGAAGAATAAGTTCACCGTAGACTCAACTCCGAGCGTCTTAGCCAAGCTCCAGAACACAGAGGCAAAATCTGGCCTAAAGCCTGCCAGGGCTAGTTTGGCAGACAGGAGCATGCTGCTCAGTAGCCTGGACACTCACTCTCGCCTCAGGGACAAGACTTTGGCGGGGGCCAAAGATGAAGAGGATGTCAAGGAAGAGAAAGATGACCAGATCAAGGTGAAGTCTCGCTTGGAAGGGAGCTGTGTCCTCAGCAGCCTCTCGTCCTCCATCCTCAGAGGAAAGAGAAATGGAGTTCAAACGCAGGCCGAAGGCACCAACTCTGGGGATGTGTCACCTAGTGAAGCCCCCCAGCTAAGCCCTCCACCTACAACCCAGCCGCCCCCACCAAGCCCGACTGCCACAGCTCCACTCCAAGACACACAGGGCAAGCAGAGCCCTGCCCAGAGCAACAGAGAGGAAGTCCAGGCTGCGGAGGCTGTGGTCAGTGACTCAGGTCCTCCACTTCCCTCCTTTAACGACATCAAGCTGCCTGACTATTTAGAGAAGTACCTCCCTCGAGAACCAGCGAAACCAGTGCAGAGCATACAAGGGCAGGAGCAAGTCAAAACTGAGGTTAGTTTTTCTGTGTGTTACTTTAACCAACTAAAATGATCTGAATGTTGAAGAAATTGTCCTCATACCTCAAAGACAAAATACCTCAAAGTTATTGACTAATTACATCAACAATCAGTTTTGTAATTGTCTAAGGAAAGGAAATTCTCTCAGAAAGATGTGCTCTTTCTTCCCATTTCCCTAAATAACAACAAGCGCCGTTGTAATGCATTTTCTATAAGTAGAGAGGCACAAGAAGCAACTTTTTAACTTACCTCTTGGCTTTCGGTTTATGCATCAGATTATTGGAAAAATGACAACTCCAGCTCATGGAGCTGAAGCAGACCAGAAACCAGGTCCGGTGCTTCCTGATGCTGTGCCTCCATGCTTCCCTGGGATTCCTCCAACCACACACCCTACACTCCCCGAGCTTAAGAAGCCTCTGGTTAAGCCACAGGGGATACTTAGTAATACTGTAAGTGTGCAGCGTACATACTATTCATCAAATCAAACAAATTAAAGCGGTACATCTTGTTGAAGTACATGTGTATGAGATGCTTGCTGCAATGGCAGGTGAGCTAGAAACTATTTATAGCCCACATTCCCCTTAGAGCTGCTTTGCATACGGTTTGTATTGAACAATTCACCACAGTTTTTGTCTTTTTATTATTTACATTCTGGTTTCAGGTATCATTGTTAGTAGGGAAGCTTCTTAATTCACAATGGATTTCTTGTCTCACTAGTCCCGTTGATTTCATTTTGTTTGGGAAGTTTGGGACTGCAGCTAGTGACTATTTTGGTGATGCTTTATTACACATTCTTAATTTCTTAATAATTTCCTAGGAGGTTTCCTGGAAAGAACTATTGAACTTAGTACTAATTATAGGGAAACAAGGAATTTCCTTCAAAGGATATGAACCTGAGTAAATGGACTTTTGGCATTTCTTCTTGAAGAAGTACTTAACTCATGAAGCAATGCTCAAAATTGTTACTGAATTAAAGTTACAAGCTTTCTAGTTGCTGTAATTTACTTTTTTTCAGTTTTCTTTCGCTGCCATTTGAAGCCAAACTTGCAAGTTGCCTATTTTGCAATGCTGTGTTAAGAAAGAGAAGAGAAACCTTTTGTGTGCCAGCTATGCCTGCCAGTATGTGCGCTTGAATGCAAATTCAAAACAGTGTAGTCTCCATGGACCCACCGTGTCCCTGGAAGTAAACTAAAAGGTCAGGGCATTCAACAGGCACAGAGCTGCTGCACCAACAAATGCAGATTAGCTGCTCGGGCATTTTATAGATGTTTGCCGTGACGCAGTCTTTCTTGCAATGATAATTCTGTGTTTTTGGATTCCAGATAAGAACTGCCAAGGGATTTCACAAGCGCCCTGGAAAGGTACAGTAGGCACAGCTGTGCCAACATACTGTAGAATAGAAACAAGATGGGGAGAGGAATCTGTACAGACAGCTCTCTGTTCTGTGAAAACATCTGCATTTCATATGGTGTTCTTGGGGGTAAACAAAGCATTTAAAAAAAAACTGTCTAGTGCAAATGCTCAGCTGGATGTGATTACAATCATGGTATTCAATGCTGCCAACGGACTGCAAAACTTGTTGTTCTTCATTTTTTGTATAACTTCAATAGTAGTTGTTGGAAGAGAGAGAGATATTCTTCTGGCACATTTTCAGTTTCTTGCCTACATGTCATATTAATTCAGTCTGCCTCCAGTTATCTGTGCTGGGGATCCACTGTGATGACATTAACACACAACAAAAAAAAACATGGCCTGAAAATACTTGAAAAAAACATGAAAATAGTAGATTTGATGAAGGCCTTTATAATAAAACTGAGACCTTGTTATGGACTAAAGAGTTTCCAGAGAAGCCTGTTTTTATGGTTCATTATTCATAAGCTTCAATATTTTGGACTAAAAAACATGTCTCTAATATTAAAGTGATGCATTACATTAGTAGAAATCCCTTGAGATTCAAGTAATTGTGTTCCTGCACATGCTTTGTGCATGTATATAAAAATAAATAATACTGCTACTTTACTGTAAACATAAAAGAAACGAAGGAAAGTGCAATGCTATTAGGTTCCTGAATCAAGGTTTAATGTTATGGAATAAGCATGTAATGCATTTTCCCATTGGTTATTTCTATTCATGACACTGCCCTTTATGTCTCTACACAGATGGTGTTGTTTGAGAAAGCTCAGTTCAGTGGCCAGGTGTATGAGATTTACAGGGATGTGACAGATGCTACCTCTCTGCAGTTCTCACCTCTCATATCGGTGAAGGTTGTTAGAGGATGGTAAGTAGCAATACTGAACTGGACTTTCAGGCGATGGAAAGAAACTGAATTGTAGTTCTAATTAGTGTCAAGTGTGTTTCGGATCAATGCCAGTGTTGCCTGCTGAGGCTTGTGAACATGTCACAGGTTTAACTAAATGAAATATCAGCATACTAGAGTTATATACCAACTCTCTCAGACTTTTTCCTTTAAGGGGCCCTGTGGTGTTTTCTTGGAAACAAACAAAGTTTCTGTTTACATTCAGTGTTATGTCCTTGTTATTATGTAGGAATTGTTCAGTATTTTGGGAAGTACGCTTGCTTTCTTTCTTGAAAAGAGATGGATCAATACCAGTCTCAGATGGAACTACTATCGATCTTCTCATGTAACTTTTGGCAAGAAAGCCTAAATGTATTCTCAAAGTGTTGCATTGAAGACACACTGTTCGTACCACATACATTTATTCTGGTCCTTCCTCTTTTTTCCTCCAACATATAATTATCTGTTTCTAACACTTTTGTTTTTCTTCCACCACAGCTGGTTGCTCTATGAGAAGCCTGACTTTCAGGGACGCTCCATTGCCTTGGAGGAGGGGGGCATTGAATTGACGAATGTGTGGGCAGAGCCGGAGCTGGAGACTGAACCACATAGCAACCAACCACCAATGCAGATCGGCTCTATTCGACTTGCTGTCTGGGTGAGTGAACTGGATATATACTTCCTCATTTGGCCTTCAATCTCTACATCATCGTCACCTCATGGTCGTCTGAAACTTAGGTAATATGTGATATTGCTTTATTGATATTCAGTCCAGACTGATACAGACTTAGTTCAGATCTTGCTTGGTAACATTGTTAACGTATGATTTAAGGACTAGTGTGGGGACACTGCTGGTAACTGCTGTGTCTATTTCCCCCTCTCTGTAGGATTACAGCATCCCTCATATTGATCTGTTTACTGAACCAGAGGGCCTCGGCAGAGTAACACCTTACCAGGATGACACAATAGAGACGGGCTCATTTGGCATCCCACTGAGCACTGCTTCCATTCAAGTGCACTCTGGGGTGTAAGTATGGCTGTTTGAGTTAAATCCAATCATTCAGATCTTTGTGACTGACCTCTGGTAAAGCATGTGTGACAGTATTGAACAGGTTGACAAAATAAAATCATTAGCGAGACAAATCGTCTACTTATTGTGATTGATCAGAATGGTAGAAAGGTAGTTAAATGGAGATTAGATTGTATTTGAAATACAATATGTAGAATGAAGACATATCGCTTTGTAGCAGCAAAGCATAAAGTTCAGATAATGAGACAATCCCGGTTTTCCGCATTGATTTTTTTATTGCTAATGACTGGAAGATGCATCAGAAGAGTAGACTTGTTGCCTGCTGTGCTCAACGTGGAGCTGTCTTTTTAATGGCTTGTTCTCAGTGTTTGGCTTTCACAAATGAGAGATAATAATCATTAGCACGTTCCTCTGAGTTTATCTTTGTCTTTGGTTTGACTCTCACTCGTTCGCCCGTTGAGGAATGTCTGTCCTGCTGTTGCATGTTAGAAAAGAGAGAAAGTGGGTGTGGGGACACTTGGAAAGCAGGGCGGAAAGGTGGAGACTAGATGGAGAGTGAGAAGCAGACAAAGGTGTGGAGAGAATTTGGCAAAGTGGAGAATGTTTTTTCCACGTGAGAGGTGGAGGTATTCAGGACATTTTGTGCCCTGCCTCTTAGGAAGCTAATGAAAGGGAACCTTTTTCCCACAGCTATTTCTGTAGGTTTACCTTGGCACCTTTTGTCGAAACCTAACATTTATATACAAGTATCAAGACAAAAATAATTGCTGTCAGATGCCAGCTCATCTTTGCTCAGTTACAAATAATTCTACTCCAACAGCTCCTCCTGTTTGCTCTGCGACGTGTGGAACAACTGTTCAGCAGATGTAGTTTTGCGTTGAACACATTTACTGTAACATGCACGTAGCTCAATTGAGTTCACTGACCAGACTGACTCATCAGCTCCTGTTTTTATATATCTTTAAACACCTTACGGCTGGCATAAATTCTTAGTATCACTTCCTTAGTGCTGACTGAATGAGATTATGGCTTTATTTTTTCTGCCAGAGCCTCACATGTGATGATTGGTGTAAGGAATTGTGTTGTGCCACATAATGGCTCAAAATGCCAGAGGTAAGGGCACAGTTCCAACAAAGGCTGCCCACACTGAAAATGAATTCCAAAGGAAAATGCTTTGAACTTGAAGCATGCCATTCCCAAGATATTTCATTCTAAAACAAATAGCTTTTGTTCTTAACTTTGGTTGTATGACTCATGCCTGAGGTAGATAATACTAAACACTGCCCTGACCTGACAATACGTAATGTACTGAGCAAATTCACTAATAAAACCTGTATAACTGCTGATTTGTATGTGGAAAAACAAATATCAGTAAGTTTATTCTTTCTAATGGCAATGATGCCCAACCACTGTTTTATAAAAGCAACAAGCCATGCAAGGTCATGACTCAGTTATTTTAAAACAGCCTGGAGGCATAGTTAGCCATAATGTGGTGGGACCTTTTGGCTTAATGCTTTATTAGCATGCAATGACGGTGTTTCTCCTCCCTCCAGGTGGCTGGTGTTCAGTGACCCGGGCTTCCAGGGCATGCTAGCTGTGCTGGAGACAGGAGTGTACCCTTTCCCTGAGACCTGGGGCTTTCCGTCACCGTTTGTTGGATCTCTTAGACCACTTAAAATGGTGTGTATTTTTGTGCGTCATCTCTACACTGCAGAAGTTCATTTGCTATTTATCATGGTCCCCAGAGGATGATCCCTTATTACTTTAGTGAACCCATAACTTCTAGCGCCATTTTTGTTTTTTTGTGACGTATCTTGGCAGCTGTTGGACAAATTGCTATAATTTGTACAGATATTCAAGGTCCCTAGACAATAAAGTCTCACTTTGATCATCAACTCACTTTTCATGTAGTGTCAATATACTATAATAATTCACATATGAAAATATAATATAAATAATCCAGTGCCTCTTAAATCATTTCCTTCCGCACTGTGTGATTCATACTCCAATGAGTCATAGTTAACCTCACAGAGCTGCCAGTTTTTTATCCTTTTTGCCTTTTGCACTATTTATATTTAATTTCAACTTTAGTAGTTTAGTAGTTTTAGGTATTTTTTTAGGTTTAGTCAAGTTTAATTTTCTGCTCATATTTTGCACTTCATGTCCTACTTTAATTATATTAGTAATATTTTTATTTGTGATATTCTTTGTTCTCTGTTTTTGCACTACTTTGCCCTATTGCTGCTGTGTCAACCTGAATTTCTCCTAAGGAGGATGAATAAAGGAATATCTTATCTTATCTTATCCAACTCTTCATTTTCAATATTCTATCAGTAACTTTCTCTCTGCTCAGTCACGTGTAAGGTTAATATCATTATTAACCTTCATGAACATGCATTTGCTAGTAACATGTCCGTTTTAATAAGTAATTAACTATTGTTACTTTGAAATGACATTTTCCTTTATATTCTCTTTTCTGTACAAACGGCCAATGTGAGAATTAGCTGTAATTATTTCTGCCCACTGGGACAGAAGTTCAGGTCAGCTTTTCCTGTGTACTCATTTTCTCTGCTCCCTGTCAATGTTTAGTAGAATTGTCACCATTTCCAGGAAAATGTAACTATCTGAGTAATTGCTGACTGTCTCACTTTTTACAATGTAAATTTTTATTAGAGAAAAACATTTATGATATATTTTATGATGACGATCTCTGTTACAGGGTGGTTTCAAAGTGGAGAATCCCAATGAAGTCAAGGTAGGATTGACACACCATTTTACTATTTTATTTTACTCCACTTGTACATTGTATGTGCTTAATGATAATATAAGCAAGGACATTTTAAATCTGAAAGTAACCAAATGATGAACTGTGAGTATTTCATAAAAGGAAAAAGGCCTACTGGCATCGGGCATTCTTTGGCCCATTTTTCTGTTTAGTGTTGTGTTTATGTTCTTTCAAGCCAAAAATAGATGTGATGTCAAGGACTTTCCAATGTAACCACTGTGTGTTTTGGCAGCAGGCATTGTCAGACCTCAGGATGAAAGATAAAGAGTTGTTTTTAGACTCAACTTCTTGTACTGCCATTCAACAATCATACAAGATGATAATAACAAATTCATGATATTGTGCTCTCAAATGTTTACCCGACAATATGTGTATCCATATGTATGTGTTTTTCACTTAAATTGTGGCTACACTGAACTACAGTAACATATTTATCACAACATAAAACATTACTCAAACTTACTGTATTTGATTCCATTTGGAAAGAAAATTTAAGGTAGTACCAAGTAAATGATGAGCCGATAATGTAATGTAATGTAATGTAATGTAATGTAATTAATGTAAGCCCTTTCTTTCTCCTATCACAGGCTGTGGTGTATGAGAAGCCTGGCTTTGAGGGCTCCAGCTTGGAAATCGACAGTGATGTTTTCTGCTTTTGTGAAAGTGAAACAGGTCTTTCTGCAGATGGACCAAACCTTGACTCAAAGAAACTCAAGTCTGTGGGTTCTTTAAAGATCCTCGGAGGACTGTGAGCCTTTATTCTTCTATTGTACTATCTATAATTTTTTTGAGCTTGCACAAGATTAGGTGACAGTAGGTCGTAATCTTGGCTTGGAGCAAGGTTTCTTCAGGGCTAAATTTTCTGCCAGATGGTCATTTTGAGGTTATGTAATACAGTCACAATTTATGAATACAACTCTAACCAGCCACATCGCACTTCCTTTCTTCCAGCTGGGTGGGCCACAGCGAGCCTGGGTTTGAGGGGCAGCAGCACATCCTGGAGGAAGGAGAGTACCTGGATGCAAGCGACTGGGGAGGCACGGAGCAGCTCCTGTCACTGCAACCAATACTGGCTGTGAGTTCCATACTGGGCTATTATTATTGATTATAAATATTTTTGTGTGACCAGAGCTGTCATACATCAGTATGTGTACATCAGTGCGTGACAAAAAGTAATTGTGGTATAACGTTTCAATTGTGGTTTGACCACCATATGAAGGTGGTTTGTGAAGGTCAGAATTTATCTTCAAAATGGAAAGGATTCTCTGTCCCCCTCCCCCAAAAAGTTTATTCTTGTCAGAATGGAAAATCCATATAAAAGCATTCAGACCGAGGGAGACCAAAACTTTCCACATAAACTCACAGATATTGACAGTGTATATGGTAAGCGAGCAGGGAGACCCAGCCTAAGAGCTTTTATTGGAGAATTGATTCATGAAAAACAGTGTCGAACAAAAGATAGATAAAATGTGCAAAGACAACAATATTTTGTTTTTATGAAGCTATGGTAAGGGAATACACTATATCATTAGCACTGGGCACCGCTGACCTTTTGATGGCCTATTATTTCATGAACCAATCAATATCAGCTTAGTTCTTTGGGTAAACTAGTCAAACCCTAGAGCAGCTGTACATACATACATAGGATGGCACACAATTAGAAAAATGTGTATCAGAAAGTTAATTAATCCGATTCATGTGAGTAAACAAGGAACAAGTTCTGTCACATTTGCAAGGCTATCAAGATCCAGGTTATTGGATTTTACCTTGATTTTTTTCATTTGCACATTAGAAACTGTTGGTGAAAGGAAACACGCAGTCCATGCTCTTAATATTATTTTGTATGTTCAATTTGACTTGTTTAATTATTCATTTAATGGTTGATAAAAAGTTAATTGGTTCAGTAGTGGGATACTGGACGTTCTTTCAGCATTACAAAACAGGCTGAGAACCACTGCCAAAGAGTGTCATTGATTTTTTTCTCTAAATGTTCATTTGTGATGTAGCTTGGTGTGTTGTTCATCAGATTCTCACCAGACAGTTTTATTCCTGCCACAGGATTTCTTGTGTCCACACCTCAAAATGTTCAGCGACAGAGACTTTGGCGATCTGGGAGTCAACATTGACCTCACGGTGCCTATTATTAACATGGATGTCACAGGCTATGGCATGAAGACGCAGTCAATTGATGTCATCGGTGGCGTGTAAGTGACAAGTATTATACTTATCCCTGTGACCTTCACTGCTGTGTGAGCAGTAATGGGAAGTAAAACGTTGGGTTGTTCACAGGATTATTATTTGCCTTGCTAAAGTAAAAAGGATCAAATCTGTATTTGTTTATTGGAATTCCTCAGCTGTCTTTCCACTGCAAGACTTCTAATGAAATATGCTTCCTACCTATCCAGCTACTACTTTCAGTACAGTGCATGCTTTAACATGCATTTCTACTCTTCAACCTGATAATTACTTAAGGGTTATAGTTGCACTGAAGTCTTGTGCGGTTTTCTGCCATTCTTTGCATCTTAGGTGCATAGCGGTAAAGCTACCGCACCCATGCTGACAGGTCGAGACAGATTACCTAGTTCACTAATGTTTAGTCCACCACACCCTACTTCCTGTCAACAAAAAAAATCATAGAGCATGCTGCCTCACACCCTTTTGCAGTGGGAATAAATGCGAAATTAATGTTAGGAGGAGCCTGAACACTGTTAACAAGGAATGTCATTTATATTTGGACGGCGTTTTCTTGCTAAGTGTTTTGTCTCACCATCTGTATAACTACATACTTTATGTAATAGTAGAAGATCAGAGTAGTGTCTGTCTTCCCTGGCTGTTTCTATTACTGTTCCTTTATGTTGTGATCAGCTGAAGAAAATGCAGAAGTAAACAAAACCAGAAGCAAATCAGAAAAATTTGAATTATTATTCAAATCAGAATAATAAAATGCAGAATACACCGCCCAAGGGAGAGTCAGAATGATGAATAATGTGGACTGGAACATTTCGTCCTTCTTCACGAGGCGGGACTCTCACAACATTGAGGGGTTATTCTTGCCGCGCTGCTAGCCTGTTATTAGATTGCACGGCCTCACCCATGTCGTGCTGCCGTCCCTCTGAGCCTCTGATTGGCTCAGCGTGTTGTTTTAGCGATTGCTGAGAGAGACTTGTTTATTGTCTAGCATGTCAGGACACACACAGCCCCCCCCCAAATGCAAACACAGCCCCTGTCTGTCTCAGGAGCAGAAACCCCCGAGCCGTCCACAACAACACACAGCTACCCAAGATATGCCACATTTGCCAAGAGAGTACATACAGTACATAACTACTGAGATACTATCATGGGGGAGGCTATTATCAGCTTGGACTCTGACCAAGAATTGTTGACATATACGATAAATGAACATCACTTTGACTGTGTCACACTGTGAATTCTTGTGGTTTTCTTTGTCAGCAAGTGTGTGTGAATCAAAGGCTGTGTTAAATGAAAAGGGAAAAAACTGAATTCTGAAATGTCAGTGCAAAATTAAAGGGCGATTATCCTTCTGTTCCCTCTCTCAGCTGGGTTGTGTTTGAAGAGCCGGGCTTTTGTGGCGAGCCCTACATCCTGGAGAAAGGCCTGTATGGAAGCCCGGAGGACTGGGGGGCGCTACAGCCCAGAATCGCCTCAGCAATGCCTATTGTGCTGGTAAGAGCAGTGATTTAGACAAAGTTATGAAATCTTGGCCCAGATTGTCCTATAACTGTGATAATTCATGAACAGTCACTGCAGCAGCCAGCTTAATCACTTGAGCTGAACAATTAGTTTCACCTAATCACATTACTCGTAATTTTAGAATTCTATGATTAATAATTGTGCAATTTTGCAATATTGAAGTGCTTGCTGTATTCTCACTTCCCCTGGTAGTCCCGGTTTGGCTAACCAAGTGAGTTAATTGCATGTGACCAGTCACAACACTCATGCATGTAACTAGGTCATAATTCAAGATGGATAACATGAATTTTTGGAGGACAGACAAACCTTTATACAGTAGATTATCTTTGGGAGCATGAGGCACTGGCAAAGCAAGAGGGAACCGATCTGTGCCGGTCAGAGAGGAAAATACTTGTCATAAGACTGAATGTGAAAAACAAAGGTGAGTCATCATGAAGCTACTTTCATTTCAAACCAGATGACCGCAAACAGACAGATTTCATGCAAAGTCTACTGCAGTATTTTAGCTGCATCCTGAAGTCTTTGACAAGCCAGTGCCTCTGAAACTGAGAGAGGCCAAATGCCGTACGATTATGTATTTTCTTAAAACCAAAACCAATAATACAGTTCATAATTTCAACTCCAATTATAAAGCAAAGAAATAATGATAACTACTGTTATTGTCTTCCCCACCTATGCACATTAACCACCCCTGTGTTTACATATAACATAAATATGCTAATAAATCAATTTCTAATTACTTTTTTACATTACATTAGATTAGGTTTGCCTTTATTGTGTCCCTTAAGAGAAATTTGTCTTGGGGATATTGTGGTCCAAGACAAATTTGTTGTGGTGCAGTGCATATAAATGAGTCTCATTAAGCTGTTGTTTCCTTTCAGGATGATTTTGAGAACACAGCCAAGTTTAAGGTAGGTAGATTGAAAAGGATAATCGAACACTTTGAATCTTGCTGAGATGGTCTTATCTAATGTTGTGTGTTAGGGGCTCAGAGTGGATGACTCAGTCTTATTGTCTTGCTGTGTGTGCCTCAGGTGCAGCTTTTTTCTGAACCAGGTTTTCAAGGCTCTGTCCTTGCTCTGGAGGACAGTGTGGCCTCCCTGCAGGAAGGCTTCTCTGTGGCCTCCTGCAAGGTTCTGGCTGGCAGGTGAGTAATACTACACAGTATGGATAAAGTATGGTTGTGGTTATTGTGAATCATGGGTATATGAAACGCTCCATCTTGCAAAAGCAGATTTTAAGAATAGGCCCTTTTTGGATTTCCCAGAGGTCATCTGATACAATTGTTGCTGCATTTTGCTCATGTGTCAAAAGTATCTCTGGGACTCAAGATGTGCTACAGGCAGGCACTGCTCCACCTACTCCAAAATCTCCCATGTGATCTACTGTATGTCTTAAATTTTTTATGATGCAGTATCCATGTTAATTACTTTGTCCTGATCATCCTCAAGAATAAATAATCTAGCATAGTACGGTTATCGCAACTGTGTGCTAGCATGTAATTGCATGTACATTATATAATTGGAAACCTACAGTATTCGAATAGTTTTAAAGGGTGATCATCAATCCAGAACATGAGTTCAATTGTATGCTCTTGTGTATGTGTTAATGTGTATTTATACAAATTATTTTTTCAGCTGGTTGGCATTTGAGGGCCAGGACTTCGCTGGCAGGATGTATGTGTTAGAAGTGGGGAGCTACTCAGACCTGAGAGCAATGGGCTGTTTTCACGCGAGTTCCTCCATCCTGTCGCTGCAAACTGTTGGCTTTGTAAGTTTTTTGGTTTTTTTTCAAGTCTTTTTAACTCTGGGGTTGGTCCACCTAAACTAAAACAACACTTTTTGGTAATTAAAGCCGTTAATTTGAAAATGGAATTTGTTGGACTGCCAGACTGTTTTAAGGTTGGGAAACACAGTAACAGTATTATTATCAATTAATTATTATTATTTGGTCAGGGATTTGGGTATATTTTGCTAATAGCAGCTATGTGTTCACAAGCTTCTATCCTCAAGCAGAGATGAAGAGTGGGCTCATTTTCAGCCCTAACCAACAGTGACTGAAAAGACATCACTGGGGGGCATTTATTACATTAGCTGTGTGAAATCTACACAGCTAATGTGAAAGTTGTCAAGTTGTCGTTTTGACGAACTCACAAGAAATTATCACCAGACACTGCAGTTCCCTTCAAATCTACAGAGTGTTTTAGTGTCTGTCAGCTTGTTTTGGTTCACTGTCATCGGTCTCATTAATACTGTTTCCAGCCGCAGTAGGACGCGCTTTTTTTTTTCAGCAAAAAAAACTACTCTAGTTAAAATCTACCTTGGCAACACTGGAACATTTAGTATCTACAGAAAAAAGATGAATAAAGTTATATATTCAACTTACATTTTAAAGGTTACCCGAAACAGAGAGAGTCATGATGACCAACAAACAGAGGAAAAAGAGCAAACCTACATCATGTGGAATATACCTATTCTAAATATTCTCACAGTCCAGTTTATCCGTCATTGTTCTCTATGCAGAAATTACCGTTCGATAATAAATGAGTCACAACTGCTGAGATACAACATGACGATTTAGAAAACAACCCATTTGTTACAGTTAACAGAGGGCAAAATGCCAGGCAGCACAAAGGTGTGAATGTGGTCTGTTTCCAGGGTAACCTCAAAGTAATCTTAATTTCAACGTGCAGCTCTACGCCCACTCCCTCCCTCAATGTACTTTCTCCCTCTCTTTCTCTCCCGCTCGACAGGAGTTCTCACTGCCATCCATCACTCTCTTTGAGCGGTGTGGTCTGCGGGGGAAGAGGGTGATTCTGACAGATGGATCAGTCAACCTTCAGCTGGCTGGAGGCTGTGGCAGAGTCCAGTCTGTGCTAGTGGAAGGAGGCATGTGAGTACATTACAACTGCTGTGTGTCTATAGGGACATAAAGCAGCTGCCCATCCGTCACCATGTTCTCCGCTTGGTGTGAGTTGACAGGTTTATGCATAACACAGAGTGTGTGTTTCGACTGGGGAGTGAACCCACTCTGCTGTCAAAGGCTTTTTTTCTGCCAGGAGCACGTAAAACAGAATAATATCCTTTTTTTTTTTTTTTTTTTACATGCACGTCTTTCAGTGGCCACTTCTAGATCCCTATTGTTGTTTAATCTTTTCAATTAAATTCAAAAGTTAAACTTAACTGCCAAGTCAAATATTCTGCTAAGCTTTCTGGCATCCAGTGCCCTTTGCTTGTGGCAAACCACACCCAGACACTACTGTAACAGTAACCCACAGAGTTAGTGTTAAAGGAGATAAATCTCACACATACAAAGCAAGGTACTTAAACCTGAAAGGTGAAGGATTTAGAGATAATAACAGATGCAAAATCAAAGGTGTGTGTGTGTGTGTAAATAAGTGTCTTGGTGTTCTTTTGAATTGGCAGGCATTATCTTATTTTTGTTGAAGTGTGTGGTAGCAGTTTTGACCTGCATGCTCTCAGATGACGTATCATACATTCACAACAATTGGATGCCGAGTGCAGGGTCAGCACATCTTATACGGCAGTGTGACAGTACTGACAGATGGAGTGATGATGGAAACCTGCTGCTGATGTGCTAGATTCAGACTGTAGGTGTGAGCCCCTGCTGAGGAAATAAAGGGCTCCCAGTGAGCCAGAGCTGTCTCTGGAGTGGCACATTCCTACTGCAGGAGAGATAGGCAATCAGCCAAAGAACAGAGCCGTTGAGACCTGAGTTGAAGGCAACATTTAGTGTCATAGCAAAAATTGGATGGTTGTGAAGCTCCCCACATTATATTTGGCACAGTGCTGCTTTGAAGAGAGGACTCAAAAATAGTTATAGATTACAGATACAGCTCATTCTAATGTAGCAAAACACCATTCCTATAGTCAGGTGATTATGAATATTTTGGTATATTATATTCTATTTGCGCCAATTGGTCTTCCTAAATGTTAAACACTGGAACTTTAACCAGGATGTTTACTTAGGTTGTTGATGTCTACTTGCCAAAATGCAGCATAATGTTACAGAAACCAACAACCACGGAAGGAAGAAAAGCAATGAAAGAAAGAAAGAAAGAAAGAAAGAAATATATGAAAGCATTTTTCTTGTCTAACTCTCAATTACACATCCATCAGACAGAAATAATACATGACCACAACAAACAAACCGAAAAGTTCTGTTGTGCACAACCCGGATTCTCTGTATAGGAAACACTCTTGTAAACAGTATTTATCTTAGGACTGACAGTGATTAACTCAGGCCAGTTAAAGTACCAAAAGAGAAAAGCTGAGGAGGAAGTTGTGCTGGTTTCACTGTAGCTGTTGAACACAGGAACTCTGTTTTTGTCTTTCTTTTGGTAACAGCTGGGTATTATATAAGGAAATCAACTATCGGGGAGCTCAGATTCTGCTGAAACCTGGTGAAGTGCCTGACTGGCGAGAGTTCAGCAGCTGGCTGAAAATTGGATCCCTCCGCCCTCTTATACAGGTAAATCCTGACGCTCCAGAGTGAGCACAAAGCTTTAAGTTTTATGCATTAGAGAATCTGTAAACCACAATGGTGGAAGTATTAGTACAATTCTAAATGTTTTGTACGCTTACCTACATTGATCTAGGGTCAGTTCTAACAGTAGCTGTGCCAAGTTAACTGAAAACAACCAAAGAAGAAAAGACAAATGATATTAATTTCAGATTAAAAAAAAAGTACCTGTGATTATTGGTATGACTGACAGCTACACATTGGAAGCCTCACCAACCTACTTATTTCAGCTAATTTTGTCATTGTTATGGTTAACATCTTAGTGGCAGGTCATGTAATTATTGAGGCATAATCAAAATGTAATTGTATGGTGGAGAATTGGGATATATTTAAGCATTGATGTGCACTGATCCAATGTGTTGTTTGTTGTGTGTTTTCTGAGTAGAAGCAAGTGCACTTCCGTTTAAGGAACAGACAGACAGGGCTCATGATGTCAGTCACCGGCGATTTGGATGATGTCAAACTGATGCGTATCCAAGAAACAGAGGAGACCGATGGATTCGAGCAGATCTGGTCCTACCAGAATGGGCATCTCCACTGCAAGGTACAACAGTGCTGCAGTCCAGATCATTTTAATCTTGTCTTATTAAAGTCAAGACTAGGTCCAGCAAAGGACAAGACTAAGATCCTAAAACTGGATTTTAGTACCTCAGATCTTGGTACTATGGCATAACCACAGTCAATCTTCTACTGCTGAGGGTGAAACAAGAGGATATTCAACATTATTTTTTAAGCACAAACTCCCCATATCATACTAAAAATTGGTCCATTGATCCGTCATAAAATCCATACCCGTGTGAAATATAATAATCAACTCCTCTCCCTGTGTTTCCAGCTGCTGGAGGAGTGCTGCCTGGGCCCCAGTGGCAGTGTTACGATGGCAGGAAGCCGTGTGGGTCTCACCCCAGAGCCAAACAACCAGGTCCACCGCTGGAGCATCACCCCTGAAGGCTTTATTCGCTACACCCCCACCTCTGATCTCGTCCTAGAAGTCAAAGGTGAGCATCCCCATGTGGCATGACATGTCTTAACTCTTTAAAGAAAATAAATTCTCTTCAGTGTGACACACAGAAGCCCGTGGATAATTAGAACTACTAGCAGCAGCAGCATTAGATGAGTTTGCCCTGAAGATCCAAATATCAGATGTTTTAATGATAACAGTGCTTTCATGGCTGTATAATACTTCAGTGTCAGTTAAACTTCCATACACTGTTCAGGTTTTATAGTTAAATCCACCACCTGCAAACACTAGGACAAATCCCAAACTTATTTTAAATATTCTTAATGTTCCCAGGTTAATGCAGTTTATTTCTCTGTGTCATTACACTACTGTTACTGATTATGTAACTTCTGTACATTAGGTACTTTGGTTCAAATCAAGCCAGAGTTAGGATTGTAAGAATAGTAACTGTGAGCCTAACTTTCTGTGGACTGGAGTTTCACTGGGTATTTGTCCGTGGAGATTTGTTTGCATCACTGTCAGTTAGTGACACCTGGTGGACAAAATAATGTTAGTGAACAGACCATCATTCACTGCATTAAAATACACAGACACAAATACACAGTTACTTACCTTGATTGTGTTTGAATGAAATATATGAAATAAACATATATTCTGACATTGAACAATTAACAGGATACAATTTTAAATGTCTCACTATCCATCCAGAAATAAGTGTTACTTACCTTTAATAATATTAAAGTTGTATAATATTATGGATCAGGAACTCATTCCAGCTGCAGTAAATAAAACCCACTTAATAAAATATCACTTGATAATATCACTCCCAGAATAATAATATTAAAAAAAATAATTAATGACAACATATCTCTGTTTCAGGAGGCCATCACTACGACAAAACCCAAGTGATTCTAAACACACTTGAACCACACAAACTACAACAAAGGTGGAATGTGGAGATTATATGAAAACATACAAGCTGCTGGACTGGATCCTTAATATTATTACAGCTCTACTAGAGGCTGCAAAACAAGTGTTCAAGGACAAGGTACGTCGTTGCAGATGATCAACCTTTGCTGCAGGACAACTATACAAATTTCCAGTGAGATGGTCAACATGGAGAGCTATGGATAAATCCGTAAGAATGTATTGTTACCCACTAACCCGTACAGATAGTGGAGCCTGAACTTTTCCTACTTCGTACTTTACACTTCCAGTAATATATCCCAAGGTGTTTTTGTCGTTGTCGTTTTTTTTCATTGAATAAATCATTTGCCTGATGTTAATTAACTTAAACAGTGTTAACACATATCTTTTTATGCACTGTCATGTTATATATACCCTTACTTTCCAGCTGCATGCAACATGAGGAAACAAAAGTGTTTTTTTTTTTTTTTTCTTTGTTTAATCAAAACTAGACAGCACACAACTCTTGTCTTTTCAAAATAAAAGTATTTTTGTCAATAAATTTCTTGAATACATTGTACAGTATCTTGAGTTACACTTGGTTTTCAACAATGTTCATTAAACTGCAAAATGTTCCAGATGTAAAGTAATTATTTATTTTGCCCAAATGTTTAATGGTTAATGCAATGTGGCAGTGGGAAAGATTCCAATAAGTACAATGTGCTCATGGTTGTTGTCAAACAACTCAACATGTAGAGAGTGCAAAGAGATGTTAAGAAGAAGCAGATAGTTGCCTTTCTTATCGTGCTGCTTCTGTTTCACGTGGTACCGGAGGCTAAACACATCTATTGATAAACATTTCCAGCTGACAATGTTCTTAACATTTTATATATATATATATATATTTATATAACTTTTATTATACAAGCTACCAGAAAGCTGCCTGGTTGTAATTAGCAGCTGGACGCTGACCTGAATGGTATTTATTGGACTGCAGTTAATAATTATAGTAACTTCACCGTGACATGAATGCAGAATAACTCAAGCACCTTGTGAAAACTTTAAGACTGTACACGAGGGTGTAAGCTTTAATAAACAACAGCCTTTGGCACACTCCCGTTACAAGCTCGGATCACGCTTTGTAGTCTACTGCACGACAGCAGCACCACTGATCTCTTTGAATAATATAGTCTTCAGCTGTCAGGAGTAACCTTGAAAAGGTGAGAAGAATCACAGCACGCCACTTTCTGTCTCTATTTTTGCTTGGCTGTTTCTTGAGCTGCTTGCTCCCAATCTGCAGTCTCTGTGTGACTGTTCTGCACCAAGTCTTCGGCCAGTCTGTCGTCCTCTTCAGCCACCCTGACTACTGTTTTCCCTCTGGCATGGCCCTCCTCCAACTTTTGAAAAGCCTGCGGCACCTGGGTAAATGGAAACTGGGCCTCCACAACTGGCAGGATCTGTGATGAATCAGCAGAAAATATCATGAATATAAGCTTAAAATCAGGAAGTTAGTCCATAAACAATTAAGGGATCAGATTTAAACCTTCAGCATATCAGACATGGGGTAATTTATTTTAATGGGTAGGGGAAATGGATGGAGGGACAGCTGAATGAGTGTTAACAGTTTGACAAATGAGTCATAACATTTTTCTGTGACAACTTGTGCTTTCTAAATTGTGCTGATGCTGTAAACTCCATGCATTAAGTGCTCTAAACAAGACAAAATTGATTACTACACTATTTTTAAAACTACTGGACTCAGATCACACTGTTTTTGTCCAATGTGTGGCAATTACAGTAATCATATTTAATCAATTTAGATAAGCAAACACCCTCGAGCTGCTAATGCTACATCATCTCTGCTTTCATAGCTCCAAATGTGAAAAAGTGAGGGAGGGGTTCAGAATGTGATGAGGCTGGACAATCCTGCGCTAGTCCCACAACACGAGCAGCCAGGCTTGTTATTCTGGTCAGCATCTCTTGTCGTTAACAATGAATGGGGAGCACAGTGGCGTCACGCTGGAAACTGTCCACACTTCTGACTGAGAATAGGACATGTAAAGAGAGTGTGCATGTGTGTGTTGTGTGTCCGTAGCTTCCCGCCACTGGTCTGAGTGTGCCGCTCGCTGTAAGCCCCAGGACAAAAGGACAGAGGTCCTGCACGCTTTTGCGAATGGCTGCTCAGCACTGTTTGAAAATCCATTCACCGTCTCCTGGCGCCTGACTCAATCGCCCAGCAGCCAACCGCCAACCAACCAACCAACCAACCAGCACAGCGGGAATGCGATGCTCACTCCTTAACAAAGCCACAGGGGACCCTTGAATACAGGCATGTATGGAATCCCTGGTATGTTCATATTCAGTGATGGAGGGGTTGGAGATCATACAGCACACATGAGCTGCATGAATTTCACTCTCAGGCTGTGATTGGTGTGCAAATGAGAAGATTTTCATCTCTCTATGCTGTCAGCGTAAGTGGTTCTGAATGACAAGTATGCCAGCATGTATGATATCAGTAATGAGGCAGTACAGTACCTTCCCTGCATCCACCAGCTTGCTGACCTCGTCCAGGGCGGGCCCATCTGGAGCATAAAATCCCCACCGGTAGAAGACTCCACTTGATATCATGTTCTAAGAGGGAAACAGAGAAGAGGCAACAATTAGAAGTCAGGCAAGCCTGCACCCCGCAGGGAATGGAAAGATAAGGAAGTTGACATACAAAGGTCTCCAGGGGTCGTAATTTAATATCCATGTTGTCATACATAATGCTAAAACACACAGTAAACCCACTACTGAAAGTGGGATGCAATATTATGAGATTGAGAGATTTTATTTGGAATATAATGTAAGATATAGGGGATACTTTTCTCAGTGTTAATTGACAGAAACTTGGATGGGATTCTGGTGGTGAGCTTAAACAGCAAACAGACTCTCTCTTCCAGTTATTATAATTCACATATAATAATTCCTCTACAGTTCCCTTTTATGGTAACTGTTTTGGTTGTTCCCTCAAAATGTAATCCATCAACTGAAAACAGGTATTTTTCTGGCAACTTAATTATGTAACAAAGAAAAAACACCCAATGCCAATAAGGGTGCACCACAGACCATCTAAAACACAATGAGGAAAGAAAAGCAAGAAGGAACTCCCATGTACTTATCCTGACATTTAACACTACTTGATATTTGATCATAATATTATCACTTTGCCACACCTCTTTAGCGTTTGGTTAAATATATCCCTGCTTGCTAGAAGAAAAACAACAGATTATGACAGATTCTTCCGGATCAGTCAATGCTGCCACAAAGTTCAACACTAGAGGGCTCCGTTGCCCTCCAGTTGAAAGGGACATGCTGTCCAGAGCTGGGCACTGAGGGTGTGACTGCTGTGGCTGAGCCCCAACAAACTGACCAGCTGGCTGCTTCCGTGGACAAAGGGGCCCGGAGGCTTGGCAAGAAACACACAAACACTGGTATTTGCCGGGTGGAGATAGTCGGCTACAATCTGCACAAACACTAAATACTGCTGGTTCAGCAGCAAACACATGCGCACACACGCGCAGTCTCATCCACACATACCCAACCCCAACACTGCCAACGGGACTCTCACCAACGCCTGCAATGCCCAGGACAACTTGACTGAACAGTCCCTAGAGCGGCTCCACCCTGTCCTTGCCTATTCACCCACTACCCTCATTACACATGCTTTCTACGAACAGAGCAGCTGGAGGGACAGGACATAGATGCAATACCACGAGGCTTGCACACATGCAGGAACTCCAACTCTTAATGCTCAAATTCCCTCATCACCTGAATGCAGTTAAATTTATTACAGCCTGCAGGGTATATTTCTACAGCTCAAACATAGCCCTTTGCAAAGAGAGAATATACCATGAAGCTATGAAGTCAAGTAATTACATGATTTGTCCCTCCCCACTTCAACTGAACTTCATCTGATCAACTGAATGGAAATTTCAACTGGCTGGGACAGGTGTTTACCCATTACACAATAGTGTATTTCCATGCCACTGAAGATCAAGTATTCATTTCAGTTTTTGGAGCACCTTTGGTCCACACCCATACTAATGGCGCAACGAGATATACCAGACTCAAAGCGTTTTATAAAGATAAACATCAAGCATTCTGCTTGTGAGATGAGTCCCTGTGTATTTCAGACTATAAACAGCAGTATAATATTTCACATCAGCTATGTTTGATTCGGTGTTGAATTCAAAAGTTTGTTTTGCTCATGTTTACCTGTATGGCCTTGCTTTGCAGAGTGAATCCAGCATGAAATGCCCCATCCAGCAGGCCCATGGAATCAGTGTTGAGGAGTAACGGTGTAACCAATGTAACGTACTTTGCCCCCGACCAGGGCTTCAGCATGGTCATCGCCCACTGCTCTGTCTCTCCACCCACGCTGTCCAAGATCACATCGAATCTGTGGGTGCAATCACACACTGTCAAACTTAGAGGAACTCTGGTGAAGAAAGGTTTGAAATATCTAAAAAAAAAAAAAAAAAAAACATACACACACATAGTTGGTTAGTAGTTATAAGAACAATGCATGTTTCATAATCTCAAGTCCGTATACTACATATTCCTAGAGTTGAGTGATTTAAAGAGTATGCTGAACAGATTACTTGTTTTGTCTTCAAGCTAAAGCCAGGATTTACCAATTTGGTTTCAGGGGCGGTGAGAGGGGTGAACCAGCGTCCACTCAGACCTTGAGCCCAGGTTTCCATGGAAACTAGAAAGCGATTCAGTGAGTGGTTGCTCACAGGAAGATGTTTACCACATTTGGGGATGTGGAAGAGGAGAAGCACACACAATTCTTGCAGTACTGGGCTATTCCTTTTCATTAGCAATTTTATTGGACTGGCACTGATTCTAATGATACTTCATTATGGGCCTGGGGCTAGTAAAGAACATTTTGCTCTGATTTGTTTTTTAAATAAAAACAATACACTGCCTCTACTTCACACATAATGTACTGTATGATTTGATAACCTTGTTACTGCTAAAAGCACACACTTTACACAGCAACAACACATACTTGTCCATCATTTCTAGTTGCTCAGCCGCATCTCCTGCTGTGTAGTCCACCACCTCGTCGGCCCCAAGCCCTCTAACGAGGCCTTCGGCGTTCTGAGAGCAGGTAACAGTTACGTGGGCACCCCAGGCCTTCAACAACTGGCAGCATAAAGAGGAAGAAAACAGAAATGTACACACAGACACAGTAAGTGGCCTTACATTCATGCAGAGTTTAAAAGAGTCAAACATACATGCTGGTACAGCTCGAGGGATGCAATTTCCCTTACCTGAATAGAGAATGTTCCAACACCTCCAGATCCTCCAGTGATTAAAACTCTAGGAGGAGAAACCCCAGCAACCAGAGGGTCATTCAATTACTGTATGACTCATTTGAGCAAAGCTACTAAAAGAAGCAGAAGCCCCAGGGGGTAAAAAAAAAAAAAAAAAAGAGGATTTGCAGGATTGGAAGCTATTACATTTGAGGAGGAGTGAAAGTTCCATTAGATTACACATAAGGTTACATTTTTACATTCTGTGGGGTAAAGACATGATTTAAAAAACCTTCTGATGCCAATTAGAATGAAATAGACCAATTTTACCACTGAAGTAAATGTGATGAAGACCTATATCAAAAGTATAGGTCTGCATGAAAAAGAGCACATTTAGAAACTTCAATACCCTAAAAAAATAATTAATGGCCGTTTATAATAATATTCAGGAACTTAGCAACTTCTTACTTTTCACCCCAGTAATGTGACAAGAGGAATTCAATACAAAGTTATCCATGGTCAGGATGGTGCTTGCCTTTTATCTGAAGAGCTGTCTCTGCAAAGACCCCCTGCATTGACCAGCGCAGACAGAGCAGTGTTGGCTACGTAGGGGATGGACGCTGCCTCTGTGTGACTCAATGATTTTGGTTTGTGGGAAACCTGCAAAAAAACAGCCACACAGACAATGTCAAAAGTTAGAAATATATCAAAACTTCAAGAGTCCTTTTAATTATCAATTTAAGAGGTCAGTCTAATCAGCAGAGCGGCTGTGAGGGCAGCTAGTTTGGAGCTGCTGAATAAATTATGTATAATACAGCAAGAAAACAGGGGGCAATTTGTGTGTCTCTCTCAGTAATTGCTGCCACAGTGGCTCCTGCTCGAACCAAACAAACATAATCCTAATTACTTCTTACACTGCAGGATTACATAACACTTCCAAACTTTTGTTTAACTTTTTTTTTTATAAATCCTACAAGAGCTCTAAATGAACTCTTTCCATTTGTTTGAAAGCATACTGACAGGAAAGTCAAATTACTTTAAAGTCGGTCTTATGTTAGACTCTCTTACAGTTATCAATCATTTGATGATGAAAATATACTGCAATGATACAACTCTACTGGCTCCAGAGCTCACCTCATATTCTGTTAGAGTCACAAATTCTGCCAGACTGCCTTGCTTCCATGGGGGAACAGCAGCCCACACCTGCAACACAAATATGACATGCTGAACACGACCCTGACTCTAGGCTATTAAGCTCTACGTCAGCTGTTCCTGTTATCATCATTAGTCATTTCCAAAGATATTTTTACACTGGTGGAACAGGATTACTAGAACACTGTTTGTGTACATGTTTACTGATGTATATTTATGTTATTTAATCACATGTAAGTTGAATTTGAATGATTGCATTTTGTCTGTAGGGAGACAGTAATGTGGATATGTGGGAGATGGCACAGTAGATATCAAAAATTATGATGAATTGCACTTGTGACGGCCAAGCAGAAAGAACTCGATCTTTCTTTCAAGAAAATGTCAATGAATTAGTTCACTATGGAGCTGTGTGCATTAGGGGTGAGCTATATGATGATATGTGGGCATTTAGAATAAGTTCTTTTTTTTCCTATCCCACTGATCATCTTCAGATTTATCACTTGTGGAGGTCAGGACCACCTCTGTCTTAGACCATTGTGGGCTGAATATCAGATTTTTATATGACTTTTGCATCAATATGAAAAACCGTATAATAAACAGCATTGCAAAATAAAAGTATGCGTATAGTCATACTGGATTTAATCGATATCGCCCATTCTTGGATAACATTACATCTTCTAAAAGGGTGTGCAGTGCAGCTCCTACCTCATCTCCTGGGGAAAAATGGGTCACCTCAGAGCCACAGTCCACCACTACACCAGACACATCACGACCCAGAATGAGAGGAAACTCACTATCACTGCCCATCACAGACATTGGATCCCTTCTTAATTTAAGCACTTTAGCTCCATAACCACCTATAAAAAGAAGAGAGCGAGCAGGTAGGTTAAAAACAACTTCAACACTGATTATGTTGCACACACAATGCCTTTGATGATATTGGCCAAACACTTACCTCTCATAGATATATCAAGAGGGTTAAGACTGGCCGCATGGACTTGAATCATCACCTCACTGGGAGAACTGACAGTGGGGACGGTGATTTCTTCTGTGAACCTCAAACTCCCATTAGTGCCATACTGATCAATGACCCATGCCGACATACAGCCCTGTAGTCTTGAAGGTGAACTGCTGACATTTCTCCTGAAGCACACACTCCAACCTGACCTGGCTAATGTTTTGGTCGAGCCTGCCGCTTTCGTGTTGAACAAACACAGGAGTCTGGTTGCTGCCATAGCTCTGACAGAGGCTTATTCAATCGCCTTTTAAGCTGGTTGTGCGTACAAGGTCAGCTTTTAATAAAACGTGTCATTTGGAAGAACACTTGTCAGTAAGTTAGCTAAGTGGCGAGCTAGGTAGCTACCGAGTTAGCATGTGTGAACAGGTCGCCAGCGCTCAAAGCAGTCGCAGAGATGTACATAATAGAGCCAATAAATATGCGACAACGCCCGTGAGCACGTTATGTGTATTATCGAGTGTCACATTAGGCTGAAATAAGATCTTCTGTTACAAAAATCAGCATAATACATACCCCCCTCCGCGGCTAGACGGCTACATAACAAGCTAACCTATGAACTCACACCGATAGCCAATCAGAATTCTGTAGCCAAATATTCTGGCCAATAGGGGAAGAGAATGACTCTGACGTATGATTAATTTAATACAAACTATAATAAAACTTTATGGAATGATTAAAACACACAAAAATACACAAATACTGATACATTTATTATTTATTGTCTTTATTCATATTAACCAATATACAAGTACAAATTCCTTAAAGCCAGATTGAAGCTTGATTTATATTTAACAGACCTAAAATATCAAACACATTTTTTTTTTTTTTTAACTAAAAGGAAATAAGGTTTTTTGTGTTTTGGTGATTTTTCTTTTATGTAAAGCCTTATTCATTTTATTTTATCAATAATTGTATACATTTCTGGTGCAATGCTGTTTTGAATTTAATATTATCTTATAGTGGCTGTATTATTTTATGTTATAGTTTGTTCATTACTAAAAATAACACTGATAATAATAAATTGTGAAATATAATATTGCATAAAAAAACAAAAACATCAACAAACCTAAACCCCAATAGAGGAGAATGAACTGAATTGCACAGGCTCCGTTAAGGCTCGAACACAAAAATCCATTATGTAGCAATAATAGCCTATTATCATAAAAATGCAAGTGTACATGAAAAAATTATAAACTAATATGCTTGAGAGGTCCACTCAGCAGTAAAGTGACTGCTGAGTGCTCCAGCTGGAGACACATGGGGGGAATACATGCCAGTGTAGAAAAGACTAATGGACAGAGCGCAGAAAACCAAAGGCAAATGGGCAGAAAGCATTATCTGTTTATGCCTGAGCAATACACAGGGGGTTGCATTGGGGTTTGTTGTGATGTTGAGATGATGCTTCACAGTTATAACATGCATATCATGTTATATTAATTATTAATTATTTAATTTGGGGAGTGTGGTCACAAATAAGAAGCCCTCTTGATGTATGAACCACAATGTGTCACTGATGGCTTTTTCATTCTTAAACTTTAAACTGAGTTACGTCACTATAAGCTGGTTACCACATAAATTACAAGCTGCCCTGCTGCTGACCATTATAGATCACTGCCAGCGGGATTGCTGCTGCTACATGGCTTCCCATCAGGAGATCCCACGGGGCATAAAAATAAATAAAAGACGAAGAAGCAACTCAGTCACATCATGTCATCCTAATTATAGGCTGGTGAAATAATCAAATAAATCAAATCACACTTGTCTCATGCAAATGACATAATCTGCAAGCAGAATTGATGTTCTCTTTTACCAGAGACAGGAGGGAGAGGGGTGAGAAAAGGGGGCCTGTGGCTGTGTGATCATGATTCAGCATGAAACCAGGCAACAAACAACACAGCCATTATGATCACAGCTCACAGGGGAAAGAGGACACACTGGAAATTGGGTGCTTTGTCTATGCTGGCTCATTACAGTGGTCCTTTCTAATGAATTATATCTCTGGCTGCTGCTCAAAAAAACTTCAGCTCAATGTTAATGAGAATGGAGGCTGTCATTTTTTAGGCGATACCCTAACAAAATCAACCACCGTTCATTTCTTGGTCTCCAGCTACTCAAGACAAGATTGGGTCAAACTATGAGAGCAGCATCTGTCTTAAATTGGTGTTTTTCAGGAGGGTCATTCTTTCCGAGAAACACCATGTACAGCTTTTCTAGGCCTCCCAATTCCATCTTGGGACCTGTGGCCCAAATCACATGGTTGCTCTAAAAAAACATAGCTTTGATCTAATTTCATGTAGTGGTCTTGTAAAAAAAGCTGTCAATATCTGTCTTAGAGATCCCAGGTCTACTATCTATATCAAATATCTGGTAGCAAAACTTTTGTATTTTTTTTTTTATCTTTCTCACCTGTTATAACCTAAGTAACATAAGTCATCCTTCTCCTTAAAGTTCTTCCCAGAGTCAAGCAAACCAATTATCAGACAAATCTCCAGATACTCGACACACCACAGTTAAACAGTGAGCCTGTGGTGAGGTTGGGCATGACTGGCCATTTGGATAATGATCAAACAAGCCTTGTTTATTATATGCAGCTTCTTCTGAGCCACGGCAAAGAGAAAGAAAGGAGGACTGTGCACCACCACCTCTCTCCAGCTGGGCTCTGAGATTATATTTTTAGAATGAACGATTGGTTTCTCTGCTTGGTAACTGCCCCATTTTTTTCTTGAATAGGTCAGACACAAGTACACTGGATACCGACCGTGCTGTAGAGAAATATGAAGGAAACCCAAAGGCTTTATGCTTCCTTATGTCATCCCTCTTGGTTTTAGAAGGCATCTAAATAGTGTCAAATTAACTGACTTTTCATTTTCTGCCTGTGAGATAAACTCGTCCATGTTGTGTGTTAACAGAAGACACACAGTGGGTCCACAAAAATAAGATTTTCTTCCCCATTGATCCATTACTACTATTATTACACTTCATGACAGTTAGTTCTGATGAAGCCAACAGAACAACGTCATCTACAAAAAGCCAAGAGAAAATTCTGAGGTTCCCAAACCGGACAATCTCTTCGTGCTAGAACATGATGTTTGTTATGGCCAATACATGACTATCACAGTACAAAACACCACTGTAGTTCAGATCAGATCTTTTATTTGTGTGATTATATATTGCAAGATTAATTCATTTAATTTTGAACACTTCCATATATTATAGGCTTCCCAATATAAGAAAAACATTATACAATGTATGACTATGTATATTGTATTCCTAAAGTGTATACACACAGACACACACACACACACACACACACACACACACACACACACACACACACACACACACACACACACACACACACACACACACACACACACACACACACACACACACACACACACACACAGACACAGACACACGCACACACAGACACACACACACCATGGCCAGTCCAGTGACACAGGAAACACAATGTGCTCTGCTGTTCATCTCACAGATAGTATCTTATCTTCCTCCACACTGCAAGGTAAGCAGTGGAAATATAATGCACTGTTCAATCTCTGCTTATCCTGGGGATTAGGGAAAACTATATTGTAAATGCTGACGTCAGAGTTATTGCTGTCAGTTTGAAACTTCGACTTGCACACTATTACCCAACACACACACACACACACACACACACACACACACACACACACACACACACACACACACACACACACACACACACAGGATGATTGGCAGAAAGACATTTGTATTTGTACATGTTCCCATATGTTTCTTTATGTCTATATTAGCACACTATTAATAATTTTTTTCTAGTTTGTAGTCTCTTTATTTCTTTTATTTTACATGACAATGTTGATCTTGTCTTTCTAATGGCTGCAGAAAGACTTCAGCCTGACTTTAAACTTAAACTTAAAAACCTTTTTTCTCACTAAAGTGCATAAACGTTTTGGTATATACGTTCACATCTTAAATAAAAAAAACACCTGCCAAGATGCAAGTACAATGCGATGTGTTTATGTTTATGCATGTACACGTATTCTGTCTCACAACAAAAAGCCTTTAAAAAACAAGTGAGGTCCAGCCCAATATCCTCATTTTCACAGTATAAAACTAAAATTGGTCCTAACAAAGCTGTAGAAGAGCACACACTCATACACACACACACACACACACACACACACACACACACTAATTTTAGTATTTTATTTATATTCACACAATTTATAGCCACTACAACACATTTCTCCAACTCCAAGGATACAAAATACAGTGTACCTTATAAATACAGCTAATGCCAATAACTGCAGACATAACAGCTCCGTTGCTGAGTACCTCACATTGGCATCCCTGCATTCTGAAAAAAAAACCCAACCTCTAATTTAAGGACACTGCCCAGACTGTCAAAGATAAACACAAGTAGTCTGCGTTCATTCACAAATAGCATGAAAGTATTTGTTTACCAGAGGTTTATACCTAACCTTAGCAAGGAATGTTTGCTCTGGATCATTGTCAAGTGCAGCAACTTCTCTGTTGTAATTACCAAAAACAATATCCAAAATATTAGCTGCAACAAAGAGATAGTTTGACATTTTGGGAACATATTTTTTTTGTTATTTGGTGAAAAGTATGCTGACGGTGGTACCAATCTGCTCCCTCCACCTTAAATCAAATGAGCTTAGTTCCCCAAAAATCAAACTATTCCATTAAAAATGTATTTTAAAACAATTCCAGGGTTGATGGGATGAAAAGCAAAGTATGGATAAAATGTATAATAATAATAGCAAAGTATGGAAAAGCAAAGTATGGATAAAATGTATAATAATAATACTTAATAATGTATAAATGTAGAATAATAATTATTATTGTACTAAGTAATGTATTAATATAATAAATATGTATTGTTATTATTCTTAGTGTTATTATTTAAGGATGTAAAAAATCTCCCCCCTTTTTGCTTTTTAAAATCATATTGGGGAAAGTATTTTTCAGGCTGAGTGTCTTTGTTTTATTCATTTATTTTATTTTACCTTTATTTAACCAGACAAGTCAGTTGAGAAGCAGTGCTCATTTACAAGAACGACCTGGCCAAGAGGCAGCATTATGTCATTTTTTCTACATCAAAAAATGTGTTCAGTGTGGTTCACAAATTAATTATCTTTCTAATGCACTTTACACCTCCATAGATTAAATGTAATCCACACAGCTCTTTTGCCAGAGAACACCGCACTTACACAAATACAACTAAACTTTCTCCAGTCCACAGTGTCTCACACTTAATTGGGCAGCCGTCTGATAAATGAACCACATTCATTATATAAATGTCAGTGCCTGCTGGTGGAGTGTAGGAAGAAGAGAGGGCTGGGAGGATGTGTGAAGGGACTGTGAGTCGAGCTGACAGGCTGCTAATGAGATATCATCAAGGAAAAACTCTCCTCAGTCCATTTAAGAGCCACAATTTCTAATGCAGTAGTTGGGTGTATGGTGTAATGAGGCACACTGTAGAATTATGGCATGTTATTTGTAGTTTTTTTGTAACCGTAAACCCTTTCCATC